ATAGTCACCGAAGTTAGTTCTACTCAGCTCAACTCAACATCAATTGAGCAAATCTGGCGAAAAATAAAACTTGGTCAAGAATCATTTCTCCTCAGCTGCTTATATCGTCCACACGACGAAAATGATCTAAGTCCTACTCAGTGTATCACATCAATCACTACCGCTCAACAAATACTGCCTAATATAAACTGCTCTGCAATTCTACTGTATGGCAATTTAAATTTTAGCCATACATCTTATGAGCCTATCGAAGTTAACGGTGGCATTGCAACTGTTGCTTACGTTAGAGGTGAGCGTCAAGGCAACATCATGTTCCAGAAGTGCCTTAATGAATGTCACTTAACTCAGCTTATCACATTCCCAACCTACCGTAGTAGTCGACACGTCGAGTTTACTAGCACACTCAAACTTATTATAACAAATGAGCCAGACTGTGTAATCTTCATTAAACAAGGCAATTCTCTTGGTGACACTCCAATCGGCCAAGCACACTGCTTTATTGAAGGCCAATTTGCTGTTGCATGCCTCAACAACTCGCCTACTTTGCCGCGTATCTCGACCTGCATTAAGTACATTAATGCAGGTCGAGATGCACAAATTTCTCAAAATATCGCATCGCACTGCCTGCAAAAAAGTTAAAAAAATGGTCAAAGCTCGTAGTCAGAAGTACGAAGAGCTAATCGTCAGGGATTCTGAAAGCAACACTAAACGCTTACATGCATATATAAGAAGCAAGCAGAGCGTCAGTAACAAAATTACATCGCTTGAAACAGTCAATAGCAACATCACAACCGATACCGGTGATATATGCGCATCGTTAAATAACCATTTTCAATCAATCTTTGTTTTAGAGCCCGAAGGTTCAATGCCAGACTTTGAAAGTCGTACAGAAGCAGTTTGTTTCATCAATCCTGCAATTTTCTCTATCGATATAGTACAAAAATGCGTAAACAGCCTTGATGAAAGAAAATCTACCAGCTACGATGGCTTACATCCACGGGTCCTCAGTAACTGTTCAGCTACCTTTGCCAAGCCTTTTTCGCTTATCTATAAATGCTCGTTTGCAACTGCTGTAGTTCCTGACTTGTGGAAAAAATTGAATGTAACACCTATTTTCAAGAAGGCTTAAAGCATCCAACTACCGGCCAGTCTTGCTCACTTTCATACCTTGCAAAATTATGGAAAGTATTTTACAAAAAAGAATAATGGAACACTGCGTTGCTAATGGTCTAATTTCTCCAAACCAGTGTGGCTTTGTTCATCATAAAGAATGCGTATGAAACCTTTTAGAAACTCGGGACATCATGACGGAAGCAACTCACTGCAGACACGCAATAGACGTCATTTACACAAACTTTGCAAAGGCGTTCGACAAAGTACCACATAAACGCCTCTTTCATAAGCTGAGAGCGTACGGTATTCAAGGCGCTCTCGTTGATTGGATTGCAGCTTGGCTAAACAATCGATGTCAATGAGTGGTTATAAATAGCATTACTTCTGAATGGAAAACAGTCACTAGTGGAGTACCTCAAGGCTCGGTCTTTGTAATTTTCAAAGTCCTGCCGGACAGAATTAATCTTCATATGAAACTGTTTGCCGACGGCAGCAAAATAATAGGGATAATTAAAAAGGAGTCGGAAAAGCATCGCTCTCCAAAATGAAGTTGACAGAGCAGTGGAATGGTCACACATTTGGCTCTTGCAATTCAACGTTGAAAAATGCAAAGTAATGCATGTTGGGCGCGGATGTAACAAGTCGACATACAAATACTCAATGTCTAACGTCGACGGCACCCGTCGTCTTCTCAAAAAAACCGCAGTCGAAAGAGACCTTGGTGTGATGGTCTCGAATGATCTTAAAGTCAGACCGCAAATAGCGTCAGCCGCATCAGTAGCAAATAGAATGCTAGGGCGACTCAAAAAAAGATTTCGCAGACGCAGTTTTTATTTATGTCGTACTCTGTATCTCACTTACATTCGCCCCTATCTTAAGTTTGCTGTACAAGCCTGGTCACCGCATTTGAAATAGTAATGTCATATTTGAAATAGTAATGTCATAAAAGCAAGTCCAACAACGAGCAACAAAAACAATATCGACTATTAAACACCTGTCCTATGAAGATCGACTCCAACGGCTCGGTTTAGCAACTTTTAAAGAACGCTGCAAAAGAGCAGATCTTATCGAGCAATTCAAAATCACTCGTAAACTCGAGCATGTTAGTTTTGTCGTCTAGGAAAAATTTTCAAAAAGTAAAGATAAGTATATTTTAAGAGGCCATAACAATAAACTAGAACGTCAGATGGTAAAAAACTGTGAGGAGCGATATAACTTTTTTCAAATAGAATTGTCGCCCCATGGAATGCGCTTTCGCAAGAAGCTGTGAACGCTCAATCCATCATTGCTTTCAAAAACAACATAAGAAAGTAACTTTATAGATACAACTGCTGCTTTGTCTGTAGCGTCTGTATCTCCATGTTCGTCAGCATAGAGGGGCATTTACATTTCAAGACATTACAACCCTAATCGATGTTTTCCCCTAATCGATTTTTTTATTTCGTGGCATACTGGGGATTATTAAAAAATTTTTTCTTTATCTTGCTTTTTTTCAAAATGTTTACAAAATTTTGAGGAGATCTGATGAACGACTCTTTGATGAAATTTTTTTAGCTAAAAACCTTTGCGGTATTTAAGGGGTAACAACCTAAAAAAGCTTTTTGTTAAAAAATTTGTTTTTAAGTACAAAAAGTTTCAGCACTATAGAAGTTTTCTATGTTCATTTATAGGGTACCATTTTATTTTGTAGTTTTAAGGCGCACATATATGTATTTTTTTAATTTGTTATTTAGGTGCCGCAAGACCTAGCAGTTCTGTCACTGAGCATCGAGGAAGTGCATTTAATTAGGAAATTCACGCCTCCTAACCGTGACGCGAAAATATGTCCAAAGCTTGTTTCGAAGCTGGATCCTCCTACTTGTAAAGCAAGCGTTCTAACCACTGCGCCAAGGCCGCATAATTTGTAATAAAAATTTTTATTATCAATTTTTTTTCTAATAGGGTGAAAAAAATGTTTATTATTAAGTTTTTTTATAATATGGTGAACTACATGTACTCTTTTTTTCCTAACCACCTTAAGCTGTTCACCTAATTAATACTTTGTAAATAAAATTTGAGAGATGGTACAAAATGTCTTCAATATTTCACGCAAAATATTTTTATATTAAAAAAATAGGTAAATATTTTTTTTATTTTTATCATATATAGTAAAATTGCGTGACGATTAGTAGTTTTAAAGAAGTGCTTAATTAATAGACAGTTTAAAAGTTAAGTGTAAGAAGATTCAAGTTGTTTCATGTGAAAAATCGCATAAAATTTAAAAAACTGTTGTTGACTGAAAACACTTTTTTTTATCATTTTTGAACTACCGACATAGACTTCCAGACGTAGCATTAACAGTCCCTGGATTGAAAAAGATTTTAACTGCAGCATAAAACAATACTGTCACAAAATTAAAGGCAGAATAACTTTTTTGATGCTAAATAGTAATTACACAAAATTCGATGCTGCAAAAATTACATAATTTACCCTAGTTCAAATATTATTATAAGTGAAATGTAATTGCTTATAACAGCTTAATAGAGCTCAAATAGAACTTACTGATTAAAAGTTATACAACTTACAAATAAAAAAGTTACTGGTTATAAATTATACAATTTACAAATAAAAAAGTTACTTGTTATAATTTTTACAAATTACAAAATGTTACTGGTTATAAATTTTACAATATACAAATAAAAAAGTCACTGGTTATAAATTTTACAATTTAAAAATAAAAAGGTATAAATTTACAATAAATAGTTACACCTAACCTTAATTATTGTAAATATAAACTAATAAAAAATTTACTATTTATTACTTTTTTGATATTTAAAAAGTCATACTGAATTTTGTATACTGAATTTGATTTACACCGACTCTTATTAGACTGAGTAAATGTTAAAAACTTATTTTTATTCGTTTTTTTAAATAAATATTTCAAGTTATATAAATGTTTTAAATCCACTCGTAAAAAGTTGTTATTAATAGACTCCAATATCCAACAAGATGTTATTATTTAAAAGAAAACTAATTTTAAACTGAAGAAAACTTTGCTATATTTTTTCTTACATCCTAATAAAACAAATGACAAAAACTATTTTTTGATTTGTTTAAGATATAAACGATTTGTTATATAATCGATGACTGTGTGCCAAAAACTTTAGTTACCAAGGTTACCAAGCTTAGCCTTGTGTAAACTACACATTTTAACTTAAAAATAAATAGAATGACTTTAACTTGAAAAAATTTAAGTAATAATATATAAAAAATGAGTTTAAAAATTAAGCAAATACCAAAAAAATACAGAAATTGTTATGATATATATATATATATATATATATATATATATATATATATATATATATATATATATATATATATATATATATATATATATATATACACACAGAGGCAATTTTACGGGGAGATGTGTCTATGGGGGGGGGGGGGGGGGGAAATTGGTGTGAGGGGGGGTTGGGTGTGGGTGTGGGGTTTTATTTTAGGGGTTACAACCCCCCTCCAAAAAAAAAAAGATTTTCAAGTTATAGTCGGTTTTTTTTGCGAATTTAGAAGGCTAGTCAAAGCCAGTTGGTACTTTTTAAGGATTCACCCCCCTCATTTTATTTGTAGAATCGCCTTTGTATATATATATATGTATATATATATATATATATATATATATATATATATATATATATATATATATATATATATATATATATATATATATATATATATACATTATATATATATATATGTATATATATATATATATATATATATATATATATATATATATATATATATATATATATATATACATATATATATATATACATATATATATATATATATATATATATATATATATATATATATATATATATATATATATATATATATATATATATATATATATATATATATATATATATATATATATATACACATATATAGTGGTTAAGGTTGGGATTTCGTATGATGAAGTTTTTAAAAGTAGATTTAATCTTTTGATGCCAAAAGTGTAACTATAAAAAAGAATGAAAAGATGTTATAAACTATAGATACAAAAAATAATTTTGTGTTCTTCAGAATATAAACTAAAAAAAATAAAAAAATACGCAACCTAAATGAAAACAACGCTGTTTTTAAAACATCTTAACTTACTGGCTGTTGAATTGTTTTTCTTTTTTTTTGCTAAAGATGAACTGAAAAAACGATGCATGCAAAAACGTATTTCATTTTGGGCCAATGGATTGAGAGCAATATGATGCAAAAATAAAAAAAATCCTTGAAAACTTGTCAAGATGCAAAAAATCCATTGAAACACAATGTATAACTTTCCTGAAACAAAAATTGAATTATATAAAAACAATAGTGAAGAATACAAAAGAGTTATTTAAAGAGCGAAAAATTGTTTTCAATTTAATAACTTCTAAACTGATTTTTTAAATAGATTATATATAATTAAACAAATTTAATTTAATGATAAATTAAATATATTATAATAATAATAAACTAAGTATTATTAATAATAAAATTATAGCCTGTTAATATTGACAAAACAAAAAGTCTAATTTTAAACGCGTTTTTTACTTTTATTATTATTAAAAACTGTATAAAACTGTAAAATTGTACAAATGTACAAATACCGTAAAATTCCAAACAAAATCACACTTAAAGTTGAATAACTCCGTCTTGTTTGAGAATTTCAAATTAATAAACTCAAACTGAATTATACTAGAGCACAAGTATGTTGATAATGAAAAGTTTTTTTATTTTTGTAAAAGTGAAGATTTTGTTCGGAATAAGGAAAACGTGCTTCCTTATTTCGAACGTAGATATCAAATTCCAAAAAATTGCATTTAAGTTAAAATAGTAAATAATCTACACTAGCGTACACCATCTAAGATATGAGTAAAAAGTATTTTTAAAAGATTAAATTACTTTTATACTTTAATGTTAAGGTAAAATACCCCCCCCCCCCCCACACTTCTTGTATTAAGGACTAGAGGTTTACCGAATATGCCGGATATTGAACTTTTCTAAAGTTATATAAGTGTTTATGAAGAAAAAACAAATCTTGCCATTCTAGATTAAATAGTGTTCAAGATTTAAAAAAAAATAAAACCAAAAAAAAACTAGTATAACACAGGCATATGCGTTAATAATGTAAAAGGAAAAATTGTTTTTACAGCCAAATTTTTATTATTTTTAATTACTATTTTCTATACTTCGTCAGCACATATACCATTTCACACAGTTTTTTTTTTTGATTTTAAGTAAGATTGAACTTTAGAAAAGTTCAATATCCGGCATATCCGGCAAAAATATTTTTGGGCACACCTCTATTAAAGACTCGAGAGTAAAGCGTTGGTGCAGTGTGAGGGCATTATCTATTTATCAGATTCAGTCTTCCATTATTTTTTTGTATTCAGTCAGAAGAATTCACCTTCACTGTCACTGTCTGTTTCTGCAAGTTTTAACTAGCAGAAAAATTAGCATTCACAAGAGAGTTGACTTTATTTATATATTTTTTAAAATCAACTTGATACGACAACGTTAGTATTTAAACTTGCAATTAAGGTTAAAACAAACAGTGTTCCATTATTGTAGAAAAAAAATTGTTTTTTTGCAATAAAACTATAAACAATTTTTATTAAGTAAATAAAAAATACTGCAGTGGAATTCCAGAATCAAAACTTATAGGATTCTATAGAATAAAATTTGGGGTAAAAGTCCATAAACATGCAACCCAATAAAGTCAATTAGTAAACTTAAAGACTTGCTTAAAATTTAAAATTATTTTTTTCAACACGTTATTTTAAATTAAAATGAAATAGGAAAGAATGCCAAAAATAATTTTGTAGTGATGTTTGTAAAAAAAAGGAATAATAATATTGGATGTAGGGTGGGGCAACAAACCTTGTGCCATTTTTTGATTACTAATATGTTTTTTAATATTTACACTTTAAACTTACTACTAATAAAGTCTTTTTATATTTTTAAACTTTTTATGCTAAAGTTTTGTAATTAGAGCAACAAAAAAAAAAATGTTTTTAGGCATTTCCCCCTCTTTTATGATGAGATGCACTCCTTAAATTTTAAAATGGAAAACAACAGTTACCACTGTAACAAAAGCAACAGTTAACCACTGTAACAAAAACAACAAGTATCATTACTACTGTAACAAAAACAACAGTTACCACTGTAACAAAAACATCAGTTACCACTGTAACAAATATAGATATTTCTTCTTAATAACTTTTTTTCACTAATTAACTTTCAACACACACTTAAGTTTACTTAACTTATATAAAGTAACAAAATAAATATAAATATAAAGATATAATAGAAAAAATTACATTATAATGCAAATCAATCCATAACAAGAATTTCTAGAAACTAGCTAAATGTGATTTGATGTCATGTTAAGTTTAGTAAAAAGATGTTTAAATATGAACATATACTCACAGCAGATCAATGTTTGTGTAACAGAGAAAATGATGTTTTTTAAAAAAATTATTTAAAATACTTGATCTTTTATATGCAATGACTAACTTTTAATGAGAAATTATTTAAATAGAGACCAAACTTACAATTCAATATATTCAAATTGACAATACTCCTACACAAGTATGCATTGCCTGTATTACTGAGTATGAAGGAAAGCTTTAAATTAACTTATATGGATTAGTTAATGCATTTTCAAATTGTACCCAATTTAAACATAATTGTGTCTATAAAGATAATTAGGCAAAAAAACACATTTTTAGCAACAGTTCACAACTGTAACATTTAGTAATAAGAGAACATTTTTAGCAACATTTTGCCACTGTAACATTTAGTAAGGAGTAACATTTTTTAGCAATAGTTTGCCACTGTAACATTTAGGAGAGAAAATTTTTAGCAATAGTTTGCAAATGTAACAATTAGGAAGGAGAGCATCTTATCGTATGAGTTGACTAGATGCATATAAACCAATAATTATTTTAATTGTTTTATTAACAAAAACTTTACTACAAAAAGCGCCTAAAAGAAAATGCACACTATAAGATTAAAAGTTTGCAAAATTTATAACTTTTAAATATATGATAATATATTTGTTAAAAAAAAAACTTGCCCAACATTATGTCCAATATAAAAAAAACAACTTTTTTTATAGATATTTTTGTTATTGTTATTTTCTATTTTTTATAGTTATTTCCTGCTCCATTTTTAATTTTATAATGATAAATAAAATAAATATTATGCTAGACTTTACTTGAAATATTTAAATTTGTTGTTATTTTGATTTTGTTTTGTTTGAGCTAATACTAATTTTTATGTAACAGATTTTCAAACTTAGCAAAAACTTTATAAAAGCATTTCAGTGTAATTATTTATCATAAATTATTCCATATCACAAAGCACTTTTGATTAGAGTTTCCTTTTGCTTTTAAATATTTAAGAAACCTCTGCGCAATAATGGAGAGAATATTTAAAATATTTATAGAATAGAATCTTATTAGTTTGATCCTGCATTTATTTATATAAAAATTATTTTAAATTTTATTGCATCATTTATTATAGTTTTATTAACAAAAAAATAATTTTGTAATGTTTTCTAATGATAAATTATTTTCAAAAAATTTAAAAAAACAATTTATATTCTTGAAATTTTTATATATATTATAATGCGATCTGTAAACAGTTATTTACAGCTACTTTTTCATCTTATCATTTAAAATATTTTTTTTAATCAAATTTTGAAATTTTGAGGCTTTAATTAAATTGCAAAGTGTATTGCCTTGATAGTGGTTGACATTTTAATTTATATAAACGTTTACCTATTGCAAGCACAGCAAACACCCAAGTAGTTCCTAGTAAGCAACTTAAAATAAATACAGTTTTAACATCTTTTTTGAATCGAATAAGTGCTCCTTCATCTTTAAAATTTGCAGATAGATCATGTTTTGGTTTAGATATCTTTATAATTACAAGTAAGAGAACAATCAAATTAAAAACAATAATGCAAGTTACAGGTAGCAACATTCCAATGTAAAATGGATAACCTTGAACTGTGCAACTAAATAAAAAAAAAATTATAGCAATTTAATGAATAATGTTAACATTGATTTCTTTTTAAATTTACAATAAAAATATGATTTTAATTATTAATCAATTTACAATAAAAATATGATTTTAATTGTTTTAATATGTATTCAAATGGTGAATTACATAAGTTCTGGATATTTTAAGAAATAATTTTTGATTTTAATTTGTTTCTAATATTTGTTAGGTGTTGCAGTAAATTATTCAAATTTACAACAAATTATTTAACTTAAAATTACAATTAAAACTTACATTTTAGAGTTACCAAGATATTTAGAATGAACAGTGCCAATGTAGATAACAATGGGTAAAGGCACACCTAAAGTATTAAAGTTAGGATTAACATATAGTCACCAAGATGCATACCTAATGATGGTTATTAGTAAAAAGGTCTTAATCTTTCCAAAACAAATTTTTTAAACTTTTTCTCTCAACTTATTTCTGATAAACTCTAACTCTCACCTACTTCATTTCTCATCATTTCCATTTTCAACTCATATTTATACATAAGATTTGTTAAATTATACATCTTTTTAAATGTTTGTTTTTTACTTGGTGACCATGACTTACTGGTGACCATGACTTGGTGGAGTACAGAGACTATTAACACTATTTTAATATGTAAAGATATGTTCTATTGGTGGAACATATTTATAACAATTATTTTTACTCAATTGCAAAATCAAAATGACTTTTGAGTTTTAAGAAAGAAAAGTAGAAAAAGAATATATTAAACAATTGTATACTTATTAACAGATAATTGTTAATTAATATTAAATGTAAAATACAAAGATTTAACTTATTCACTAGATTTTACCCTCTTATAGAAAGACTTTAACAGGAAACTTATCGAAGAATTGTTGACCCACTATAATTTTTTTAACTTAGAAAATACATGTGTTTACTCTTTTAGTAAGGGATCGTCCATAAAGTACATACGCTTGGAGGGAAAGTGGGGTCTACAAACAGCATATATAAGATAAGGGACAGTAGGTCAATTATAAAAGTAAGGAGACACTAAATTAAAAAATATATGAAAAAATGATGAGTAGGTAGGTTAAAAGCATAGTTACTTTCAGGAAGAGGGAAGGTACTTTCAGGAAGGGGGAAGGTACGTTCAGGAAGGGGGGAAGGTACTTAAAAAATCAAAGTTTAATCTTTTTATTCTCCTTTATATTTTTATTTGACTTCATCTCTATGTCTGTACAAACACTTATTCCGATAATTTATTTAATATTTGATGATTAATGTCCCAAAAATTGTGATTCATCTTAGAAAACATACTTCTACACCTGAAACTTCAACTTCTGTGTGTGATTTTTTCATTTTCTTTGTTTTTATACTTAGCAGTTAGAACTTAAAGGGATATACATACTATGTAGGACTTGAAGTAACATACATACTATGCAGGACTTGAAGTAACACACATACTATGCAGGACTTGAAGTAACATACATACTATGCAGGACTTGAAGTAACATACATACTATGCAGGACTTGAAGTAACACACATACTATGCAAGACTTGAAGTAATATACATACTATGCAAGACTTGAAGTAACATACATACTATGCAAGACTTGAAGTAATATACATACTATGCAGGACTTGAAGTAACATACATACTATGCAAGACTTGAAGTAAGATACTATTAACATTAACTTAAAGAACAAGTATAACAACAATATTTTATAACAAAAATATTTTCATCATACTTTAGGTTCTACCAGAATGATCATTTATTAATGTTTTTTTTTGTGTTAACATTGCAATAGTTTAAAAAAATATAAAATGATTTTCAAAATACTCTAGCTAGAAGTATTTGATGACAGCTATTTCTCATTGAAAATATTTTTAACATGAGGGAAATCATCTTTCATTTTATTAATAAAAATAGATACATAAACTAGACATATTTGCAACTTCTGTGTGTGACTATACGTGATCTTTATTTAAACTATTGCTTTGACTCTATGATACATAGCGAAATTCTGTAACTTTAAAAAAAATCTTTCTCAATATATAAAATAAACAAATTAAAAAATACTAAAAATTATTTGATTTAAAAATACAAAGTTTTTACTTTTTTTGATTGTTTTATCGAGAAAAAAGATTTTTATATAGATTCCATCTACAACATGCAAGCTTTCTTTTACCAGTATTCTGTTTTTTTTTTAAAAAGCAGAATACTGGTAAAACTTATACTTTGTGAAAAATTTAAGTTTACTTATCTAGTAACTAAAACTTGCCATCTTCTGTTCTGTTCGTTTCAAACTTAATTTATGATAACATCACTAACGGATACTAAATCTTGTATAGATGTGTATTCTTGTATAGATGTGTATTCTTATATAGATGTGTAATTCTTTGTTTACAAAAATTCAGAATTAAATAAGAATTAAAATAAGGGTAAATTAGATATTATTATTTATTATTTGCTATACTATAAAAATAATAAAACATAAAGTTTGCGTCCATAGTTTATACTACTAACAATAAAATAATTTTTTTTTAAACAATACAACTTATTTAGGTGTTCTAAGTTAATTTCTAAAAAAATATTTTCCAGAAAAGTATTATGAAAACACAACAATTCGTTATTGTTTTGATTAAATTAAGTAAAAAACATGTAGTCCCAACAATAGACAAGTTGGTGTGAAATATAATACAATTATAAACAAATTAAAAATAAATTGTTAAAAAGAACTTTATTTAAATTTAAATTTACCCCATGCAAATAATGAAGACTTTGCCATAAAAGATCTAGTTTCCAGTTTACTCATAATAGTGATTTTTTGATACAGGTTTACTCCTTCTACAGCCATCCAACAAAATGTGGTCAAGACAAAATAATGCAAACCAGCAGCAGCAATTTTGCATTTAATTAAAGATGATTTTTTTCGTTCTGCAGCAGTAATGAATAATATTAGAAGTGTTAGTAACGACACACACATAAAGAAATGAATTTTATGAGTGCGATCTTTTCGAAGATTCCTTTGATAAAAGAAAAACAAACAAACAATAATACAAACACTTTGTCTCAACACTAAATGACAGTAAGAGGACCCAAAATCTTATGGGAACCAAAAACCAAACAAACCAACTTATTAATAATAACCAAGAGTCTCCCTGAACTTAGAATGTCATAACTTAAAACAATTTAAAACATACTTTAAAAATATTTTTGATTGAAATTTGGATGAAAATTTCTTTGTCATCAATTTATTAGCCAATAATTTCATAAGCTTTTATTCTTTCTTTTACAAGAGAACTAATTAAGATTTTTAATTAAATCTTTGATATTTGAATTGATAAAAGCAATTTGAAAAACTCAATACTTGAAATATAATTATAATATTATTTATATTTATAAAATATATGTATTTATAAATATAAATAATTGGAAAAAAATCAATAAAATTCTTAGGTAAAAACATTTAAACCATTGATATGTAAATCAGTGGAAAAATTGGGAAAATTACTTAATCAATTTAGGTAAATGTTTAATAATACAATAGAGAATTGAGTGATATGGGTGATGATGGGTAAAGATTCACACTCTTATATCTGTTGAAAGTTTATTTGATATTAATAATAATTTACTTAATATTTTATAAAATTACTATGTTTATAATTATAATTTTAGGAATTACCTCCGTAACAGTACTAAAACTGTAAACAGTAAAGTTACTATGGAAATACCACATCCAATCCAAGTTATAACTTTTAATTCTAAAGGATTGTATCCTATTTGAGAGGTATCCAAAATAAGTGCAAAATTTGTGAGATGGTTGCAAACACAAAATACATATGCGTTTGATTCATTTAACTTGTAACATCCATTATCTGACCATGCGTCTAAACAGTTATGTATTTGCCAAAATTTGTTAAAAGAATAAATTCTAAAAAGTAACATGATGTTTATTGTTCATCAAAAAAAAAAAACAGAAAGAATAAATACTTACTAATACTTGAGTTCCAAAAGTAACAATTGAAATTTCCTTTTTGATTTCCTGGCTTTTTAAATGTAATGGAAATTGGTTCACTTAAATTGATAATAGTCTGTTCAAGAATACTAACTGAAACAACAGCACTTGATATTAATACTTCAACTGATTTAGATTCAGAAACGGATACAGATCCATCTGTATTAAGAAAGAAGTATGGATTTCGATAAATGAAAGCATAAATAAGGCTTTGCTGAGGAATGGCTGCCTTTGGAATTAATATTATAGCATCATTATTTCCTTCTAAAAATTAAAACCTTTTCTTGTTAAATACCGTAATATTTTGTTAAGTTCTTGTAACACAATTAAATAAAAAATCATGTTAAATAACATATTGAGAAAAATATATCTAAAATACTTTTAAATTAAAAAAACAACAACTTTTTTTTCTACAATACCTCAAAATTTTATACTATTTAAGCACTTTTAATAAGACTTGAAGAACTTTTAAAAGAATTTAAGCATAAAAAAATAAGTATTAAATCTTAGATCTAATATCTGTATCCCTATTTGTACATTTGGGGTGCATTGTTAAAACCACACAAAGAACCCTTTAATATAACTTTAGATTGATTAGAAAAAAGTAATAAGTCATGCTACTGCATAAATTACTGCTTAGGATATAAAAAGTAATAAAAATCAAACAGTTTTAGCGAATTCAAAAAAAAACAAATTTATATTTAATAATTAATTTTTTTTTTTAAATTTTGTTTATTTGTTCAACTTTTATGAAAAATGCTTTTTTGTACTAGCTTTTTTTTAAAATTATTTTATCTAGTATTTATTCAAAGCTATCTTTTTGCTATTAAGTTTAATTTAATTTAAACAGCAACAGAAAAAAATGAGTTTTTTAAATCGCGCAGGCTATCTTAAAAAAAGACCATCCATCCAGCACTTCTTCGGGCCAGCACTTTTTCGGGCGCTGGCATTTTAAATGGAGAAGACTGCTTAATTTCCACTAATCAAAATTTTACAGTTTCCCACCAATCAAAACTATTTTTAAAGTTTCAATAGAAATCAATGAAAGATTTATTACCTTGCATCTTGATGGTAGTTCAATAAGAAAAACTCAATTGATTCTCAAGAACGTATTGCAGTCATGTGTCACTAAAATAATAGCTAAGCGAAAAAGAAAGGTAGCACATAAGATTAAATCAGATCCTGAAAAACAACTGATAATAATAGTATAGTCTTGCACTATTCTGGACTGTTTGGAGGATTCGTATTTTTAGGAACAATTGCCTCATTATTATATTTGCACCTCTGTAGAAACTTCTTAGAATAGTGAGAAGCAGCTAGATTAGGCCAAAAAAGACATTGACGTTTGATCATTATTATAAATTACAAAAGTCTTATTTGGAGGTAGACATTGGTGTAGAGATAAGCAGTCAAGGTCTCAGTGACAAAACAAGGGATTGCATGTAACAGCTGCAATTTGCTTGCCACATAGGAAACTTGGTTGCATATATTTCTTGTTGAATATATTTATATTGATCATTAATAGAATTATCTTTGTTGTCACAGTAAAATTGTTGAACTGTTATTGTGAAAAATCTGCCTTGCAATATGTTTTGTAATCCTCAATTATGTACATACTATTTTATGTACATAACTATTTTTACCAACTTCTTTGCATAATTAATTATTTTAATTTCAATATCTAAGCATCAATTAGGTGTATACTTCATAATGTAATACTGGAAAATACATCTAGTGTAATGATCATAATGTATGAAGTCTAGGAATTTTTGGAAATAATTATCAACTTCTTAAGCACTAAAAAATTTGATTCTATGACAATTTGCAAATCATTGATTTGTAAATAAAAGTTAATCAACACAATTTAAGATAAAGAAGTAACATTAAATTTAAAATAAAATTAAAGTAAAAAACCTTTAAAGTGTTAGATAAATCCTTATTTAAATTTAACTGGATTTTTGGTGTCTGTGCTATTGGACTTTTTCTACTTAAACGCTTTTTTTTTCAAACCACAATTTTATATATTTCGAGTGCGACTAATAGTTATATATATATATATATATATATATATATATATATATATATATATATATATATATATATATATATATATATATATATATATATATATATATATATAGCAGGATCTAGTACATGCATCCACTGAAAAATAGGCAGAAGACATCAAGGCACGGTTAGCACGGATCCTTATAATGCCTACATAGCTTTCCCAAGAAGGCCATGGAAAGTTAGCGTACACATCAAGGTAAATATATTCAACAAGAACAAAAAAAAAAATAATTTTATTTAAATGTTCAAATTAAGTCAAATTTTGATTTCATAGTGCGTCATTTGTAGAATTTGAACCACTCAATATAATTTAATAAAAGTTGGTGCAAATGTAGCCAATAGTCACACCAAACTCTGGACAAAATTTCACCCTGATTAGATGACTGGTGTAGGATATACTGCAGTTTTAGTTAAAGTCTTGTCAGTTTTTTGCTACTTATACCTCAAAGCATTACCGATTACTTTGAAATTTGGTCACTATTTTCAAAATAACGGTTACTTGAGTGTTCTTCTATGTAATACCAACAGTTTTTGTTATAATTATTTCATCAGTACATGTACAGTTTTCATTTTATAGACCAAAATTGTGATTTTCTACTTAAAGCGTGATTTAAATAGTCTTATGCTAATAGTGTTGACAAGGCCTTCAAAGTGGATGGGGATAACCTTTCAATTTCTAAAATAATTGCCTATATTTCTAAAACAAAAGGTCCTCGCAAAAAAAAGTAGAGAAGGACATGACCCTCTATCCTCCCCGGCATTGACGGTCATGTATATTTCGCTTGAATATACCAACATTTCCTAAGGTATAAACTGCTGTAAAAAAAAAAAGCTAAAAAAAAAGTGCAAAAGCTGGTCAAAGGAATACCAGTTGGTAAAACAAAATAAAAAAGTAGATCTCCTAAAATATTTTGTATTGACCTCATTAAATACATTTACTTTTAAAATGAAGTGAAAACTATTCAAACCCTATTTTTTACATTGTATTATTAAATATTTAATTACATTTTAAGAAATGTTTTTTTGAATTTTGGGTGTTACGCTTGCACCAGTTATCATAAGGTATCACTTTTTGAAATTTTCAATTTTGCAGCGAAATCCGGCTGAAGGATGTATCAAAAGCAAGTTTTGACAACTAAATTGAAGCTTTTGAATGCTTCAATTATGCACACAAAATTGGGAATCATGTTTGTCTCAGCAAGTTGCTGCAGCATATCCACATTTTTAAGAAGCTTTCTGCATCATTTCCCTCAAACTGGCCCTCCTGATACGGGCTCAGTTAAATGTGGAGGACGGCTGGTCACTTAACAGCTTCTATCCAAGCAGTTTTAAGGATCTTGAAAAGATGGTTGACAACTTCTAAAAGGAGATGCAATTCCATTGGTGAAATGATTTCCAAAATCAGAACATTGACAGGCCCGCAGATGATTGGCTTTCGAATGACATTGCCAAACAGCTTTGCATAAGCAACAACCCCGCCAGATTGCTGGAAAGACTCAAGGCTTAAATTAATTGAGTCCAGTGTTTGCAAGTTTTCAGATTTGGCAAGACAATTGGATTTGATATCACACCAGGTACAAGGGTGCGTACTTGAATGAGTTTGAAGACCACAAATTATATTTTCAACTTTCATATCACAAGCCAAAATTAGTTTAACTTCATCTGCATTAATCAGTGACCAGATTTGTTCAATATTGGAGTGTGTTTCTGGCAAATGTATTCTTCTTGAAATCTATCTAGTGTTATTTCTTCATAGTCAAGACATTATTTCAATATATATGTTAAAATTGTTTAAGTATAAATATATACCAGGGGTAACTGTAAGTGGAGGCCTGCCAGATGCTTTAGCCAGTAGAACAGTTCCTTCCGGGGATAATTCTTTATTGGAAATAACTCGAGATGTGATTTGTTCGGATGATTTGGCATCTTTTGCTGCTAAAGATTGAATGTTTTCCCTTAACATTATTTGAGAGCATTGGTGGGGCGAACCTTTTCCTAAAGGGCTTAGGCATTTGCTGCAACGCATTTTTGGTTTTTTCTCAATAGTGGTTTGCTCTATAAGAGAATGTTTTTTTGTAGCTTTGAACGACCAATTCGGCATATTAGGCAACAACACATAGTGCCTCATGTTTTAGGTCTCACTTGTATTTAAATCAAACAAAGGAGGGAGTGCAACTTCTTTCCCTTCTTGTTTCCTGCGCAAAGTAGTTCTACACAATTCGCAGAATCCTTTTGGTACCCGAGTATCACTGATATTGATCTTAATCTTTTACAGTTAGCATATTCGATCTGGTTCAAAGGTAGTAAGCTGTCTTAAACGTTTTTTCAGACAGAGCAAGCACACAAATTTTCGATTTTCATCTTGATTCTTTGCTTGATTTGGCATCATGGCAATTTACTAAATTTGACTTCACTAAATCAAACTGTACCTTTTACAAAATTTGACCTAAATTTATATTTGATAACAATCCACTTAACAGAGTAACACATATTATTAATTAAAAACTATTAAAATAAAGGAAATATTTACTTGATTTTTTTTATTTTTTTATTTTACTTCACCTCCTCAAGGCCGAGAAGGCCACTACAGACGAGGAGGCTACTTATTTTGTGGCTATAACCCTCTCTCAACTCTATAACTCCGAAACACGAACCTTGACGAACAAGGCCGCTGCGCAGAGAAACAAGTTGAGCGCGGTACTACCAGGGACGTGGTGGGGATCGAACTCGGAACCACTCGTTTATGAAGCGAGCGCTCTACCACTACACCACTACCGCATTTAATTAAGGTAATAATAAATTACAAAGAAATAATTCTTGAATAGTTCTTTCCTTACCAGGAATCAATTGTTTAAACTATTTACTTGTAAGGAAATTGGATTATTGATAATTGTCACACTTATTAAACTAATGATACTTGTCACACGGGTTGTTTTATTTCAAAACAACCCTTTAACTTAATTAGTTATTCAGTTAGAGTAATTTTCCTCCAATTGGCCCTCCAAACTTTGTATTGGTCAGATATCTTAGTTAACTTATCTAAATTTTTTAAGTTGATTGTCTTCGTCAATATAAAGTTATTCTGTTTTCAGATAAATAATAAAATAAAACAGTTGTTCTGTTTTCAGATAAATAAATATTTTTATTTTCTATGTAGGTATCTCTAGAAATCCTTCTTAACCATTTTTTAGAATATATTTGCATTCTGGCAGTAGTTTATACCTTAGGAAATGTTGGTATACTCACGCTATGCATACATGGCCATCAAGGGAGCCATAGCCTGCCCACTTTTTTTTTGCGAGGACCTTTTGTTTTAGAAATATAGGCAATTATTTTAGAAATTATGGATTTTTTTTAGAAATTGAGGGGTTGATCCCTCCACTTTGAAGGCTGTGTCAACGCCATTGGCATAAGCCAATTCAAATCATGCTTTAAGTAGCAAATCACTATTTTTGTCTATAAAATGATTATAACAAAAATTGTTGGTATTACATAGTAGAACACTCATGTAACCATTATTTTAAAAATAGTGACCGAATTTCAAAGTAATCGGTAACGCTTTGAGATATAAGTAATTAAAAACTGACAAAACTTAAACTAAAACTGCAATAAATCCTACTCCAGTCATCCAATCAGGCTGAAATTTTGTCCAAAGTTTGGTGTGACTATTGGCTACATTTGCACCAATTTTTATCAAATTATATCGAGTGGTTCAAATTCTACAATTGTTATTGGCGCAATATGAAGTCAATATTTGACTTAATTTGAACATTTAAATTAAATTATTTTCTGCAGACAAAGTTTCAAAATTTGCATCACAGGGTACCTTGATGTAAAACTTTCCGTATAAGTGGCATTTTAGAACAGCTAGATAAGCATCATAAGGATCCCTACTAACTGTTAATGATGACGCTCTATCAACTATGAGTTTAGGCTGGGGCAGCAAATTTTTCAAGCGTTTCATTATATTTCATTATATCAAATTTGGAGAGATTTGCAAAACAACACGAAAAACAACACAAGCAGTGTTTCAACAAATTGGAATAGAGTTTCTTTCTAATTTAAACCATTTGTTTGACATTGCTCATGCTGACAAAATAGGATCTTTTTGGTCACTTAGCCAGCATGAATAATAAACTTATAGAAAAAGAAGAAAAGGCGCACCTTAGAAACTTTGAGGAAGAAAAGTGATGTATTAAATATTTTGCATTGTTAGCATCGACATCATCTTATAAACATTAACAAAACTTATCTTTTAATTTTGATTCTGAAATCCTCTCAGCCCAATAAAAATTGTATGGAGAAAAATTGTATGCGGAAAAATTTCACTCAGAACTTGTTTGTTGCAATAAATAGATGTCAGTTAAGTGTTAGAGATTCTGTATTTATAATTGAAGCTACTATTGACACACTAGAGCGTAACACAGATGACTTTTCTATAAGCAAGTTCTCAATCCATATAATTTGTACAGAAATGTAAAGAGAGAGGACTAAAGCTATAAAAGTTAATTTTCAAAACAATATCCCAGATATAGTAACTGTCCACTGGGATGGCAAACTATTGCCAGCTATAAATTCATGTATATCTAAAAAACGCCTCCTAATAGTTTGTGACATTAGAATAATAGGGTTCTATCTCCATTTTTTAACATTGTGAGAATTTAACTTTTGATTTTTAATTATCTAATTGTTCCACAGTTGTTGTTGTTGTTGTTTATATTGATAAAATATATGTTTTTCATGTTATTTATGTTTTATAATTAATCTTAAGTTATTAATTTCATAATTTTTAAAATTGCTTGTTTACAAATTAATTGTTAATTCCAACTTTAATAAATAAGGTTAAAATTGACAATGAAAAACAAAAACTAAGAATTCTTAAAATTATATAAAAAATAATTATAGGATTAATATATTAAAATTATAAAATTTTAAACAGAAAAATAGTATTATAACTAAAAACAAAAAATTAAATTTTTTACCTTGAAAATTTGGAGATTTTTTGAACCTTATAATTCTCATCTACTGCTATTTTGTCTTAACCAATTTATATTACTTAATAAATAATAAATAATAAATTTATATTACTTAATAAATAATAAATAATAAATACTAAGCAATTAATTTTATAAACTTTATTTTTTGATCTTTCAGTTAAACAAATTTAAAAAATTTTTACTATTAATTTTAAAAATTTAAGGCAGTATTACAAATATTGCTAAGCAGTACAAAATGGAGATAAAACCCTATTATTCTTATGTCACAAGTTATTTCATTTAATGATAAAGAACAACTTATCACTTATTAATATTGGACAGCTCATCAGTAAGCAAACAAGCACAGACAGTTGGGAATGGCACTGTCAACTGGAATCTTGAGGACAGACAATCTGTTGTGATACTACTGCCCCAAATACAGGTCATATTATTAGTGCATGAGTGTTTTTCGAACAAAGACTTGATAGAGAAATGCTTATTTTTGCTTGTCATTATCATATTTATGAACTAGTAATAAAAAGTGTTTGAAACAAAAATCAGCCAAGTAACTACAAACCCACACATTCTGTTGTTTAAAATTGAAGTTTAAAACTTCAATGTTTAAAAAGTTCTGAGAAAACTGGAAAAATATTGATGCCAAAATAGCACAAATTTGAACAGAAAAATCTTGTGTAAATGATTCAGAAACCGATAAACTGCTAGAACTTTAACAGTAAAGCAATTTTTTTTTAGGACTTTTTGAAGTTCATGAAAGCTTATGAAACAATAGACAAAAGCATTTCCAAAGCAGCTTTACAGAAGTTTTGCCAGTGTTTATGTTATTTGACTAGGGTTACCAGAAATCCGGCTTTTACGGTGGAGAATACAGCTCCAAAACTGTAAAAATAAAATTTTTTACCGTGTTCTCCTTCGTAAAAACTGGACATCTGGTAACCCTATATTTGACAGATGAAGTGTCTGTTTTGTTTTTATTTGATGATCATGTCAATCAAGAAACTAAAGTAAAAATAATTTTAAATTTAGCTAAAGAAAACCTATCAGCCCATAATAAACTTTACATTGCATTAAAAAAAAAACTTTGTTACTTTCCCACTTTTTGGTATATCTTATATGTAAATTAACTTCAATTTAATTTTATAGTTTACCATACAATTGATAACTGTTCCTTCTGTTTTAATTTTAGAGAAAAACATTGATGAATTCTTTTCTATCGAAAAAAAAAAGGTCTTATTTAATCGACTCAAAATTGATGACAGTTTTCTGAATAAGAGCCCTTCTATATGGTTAAATGATTTGTTCCAACAAGCTAAAAGGAAGCTATTGACAACTGGTTAAATCACTGTTAAAGAGGAGCAAAAGCAATTTTTAGTATATTGCGTACAAGAACACGTATATACTCTATCGTATTGTAAAAAGAACACGTATATACTCTATCGTATTGTAAAAAGCAAACTTTTAAAAAGAAATTTAATGGTTAATGAGATATCTATTAATCAGATTTTTTTTTTTTTTTTAAAATATTTTTTGTAATAATTTTTAAAATTAGATATGTAGTAAAACACAATTTCATTTAATGTGGAAGTGGTGTAGCGATGGAACCTCTCGCTTTATAAACGAGAGGTTCCGAGTTCAACCCCAACCATGTCCCTGGTAGTACTGCACTCAAATTGTTTCTCCCCGCAGCGACCTTGTTTGTTAAGGGTTTTGTTTTAGAGTTATAGAGTTGAGAGAGGGTTATAACCACAATTAGATAGCCTCCTTGTCTCTAGTGGCCTTCTTAATCTTGGGGAAGTGAACTAAGATAAAAAAAATTTTATTTACTGAATATAATTAACAAACTTTACAATGTCTTTATAGCTCTATACTAACTTTTTAACTTAAACTTTGATGTCAAGTCGGAAAGAGTTATTGTTATCCAATTTTAATAACATTTTTTTATTTAATTTTTAGGTCAAATGAAAAAAAAAAAGAGCATATATATTTTAAAATTCGTAAAAAAAATTTCACCCTTATTGCCTGAGAAACTTTAATATCTCTCTTCCTCTCTCTCTCTATCTAGATACAGTGTTCATTACATCGGAAGTACTTAACCCTAGATTTTATGTAATTATAATGCAAATAGCCAAAGTAAGTAAAGTCTGCCTCACAGCATTGATTATGAAATTATGGTTTTAATGAAAAACAACCAAACTGGATACAATCATCGATTGTATACTAATTACCTCTAAAAAATAGATACTATTTCCCTCTAAAAAATTCTTATTACTACTGATTCCCTCTAAAAAATTCGGAATAGTGCACCGCAGGAATCAGTTCTTTACATTTACTCCATTACTTTTTGTAGTGTTTATAAATGACATGCCAGATGATAAGTTTTCAAGCTCTTCGATGATAATAGTAAAATGATAAATGTTATTAAAAACCAATACAAGATTGAACAACTTCAAATAGATCATAACATGATAGATCCTGAACAAAAGCTGTACTTGCTTAGACTATTGCATGTTTTGAGCACTAGTACCTCTTAAAAGAACATGTAAGTACTGAAATCCGCAAATGCTTAAAACACTCATTAGCTTATATGTTAGGCCACACCTAGAATATGGCAAGGGTTCCAATAATTTAAAAAAAATAAAATTGTATGCTGATAAGAACATAATTGAACAAGTTCCAAGGAAAGAAAGCGCAAAACTTTTATAAAAGAATTTTTGCTTTCTAAACTAAGTAATTGGGATTTAGAATAAACTTTTATAATGTTGTCCAAAACCCCAAAATCAGCAAAATCATTAAAATCACCTATGATGTCTAAATAATAACAATATAAAATTATATACATACATCTTAATCAACTTTGCATTAAGCCACAGCTTATGATAATTGTTATTAATTGCTGGTTTTAAGAGTACAGAAGATAAAAATGATTCTTTTGACGGCAAATTAACTTTTAATTACTTTAGCTTTCAACTAAACCTTTGCTATCTAAGAGCCAAACCATTGAATTGATTGTAAATACATATAAAATTAAGATTTAAATATTTGCAAAAATACCAATTTGACTTATATTTTTTTTAAATCAGAAAGTGTTTTTTTTTTTTAAGTTTTTTTTATGTTTACAAGGATAGTGATACTACTTTTGAAGACTAATAATAATAAAAAAAAAAAAACATTTTAAACTTACCATTTAATAATGAATCATTTCCTATTAATATAACCATTTTTTGATTTGAACTTTCAAATGCCACTATACAAATATCTGTATAAAAGGTTTCGCTATTCGTATGCTTGTTGCTCATTCCTATATTTGTTGAACTAAAGTTTTGAAACTGATAACTCTTAGTAAACGTTTGTGCCATTATGTCAATAGTTTCCAAAAACTTGTTAGAAGAATTATGTTTATTTTGTGCTTTTAAAATTAATGTTTGATCAAGATCTAAAACTACATTAACCAAGCCTAAAACATTTCCCAATACCTAAAAATAATGTTTTTATTTTTAAATATTTTTCTTACAAAATTGAAAAACTTATTATTTATTCTTTTGAAACTTCTCTCTTAAAAAATTAAGCAAAATAATTGCAGAAAACTGATTTAACTGATTTTAAATTATTAACTGATTATTAATCACTCTGTTTATGATAAAATTTAAATTTTTTCTAGTATCACCACTAAAGATTGAACTCTAACTTTTACGCAATTAAGATCAACTTATTTTATCTATAAAGCATGCATTTTTAAGGCTACCTTATCTTCTAATAAAGCTTTAGAAACAATTTATTTTACATATAACCCAAAATAATAAACTTGGATTGTTTTATTTAAGCCAATTTTTTGTCACCATATTAGTATATTTTTGAATATTCTTCTATTAATCTTGTTAATTTTTGTTTTGACAACTGTCAAAACTTTGTTTGAAAAGTAATTCTGCTCTATTCTAATTTACTTCATTTTTTTCTCAGGCATTCACTGCTTGTGTGGGACCATTTGACAAACTTATATGTTAAAGTTTTTAAATAATTTTGAAAAAAAAAATTTTATAAATTATTTTCAAAATTTCCTTATATTACATGACTATATTAATTTAGAGTGTAAAAAACAAATAGATTCTTTTAGGAATAAGTTTTTATATAATTTAAGGTTGAAAAGAATGACATGTTTAAGGGTACAGCCAACTAGTTTTTATTATTATTATTATTTACCAAGATTATTTATATTATTATTATTTCTATAATTCATTTTAAATAAAGTATTGTGCAACTATTTTACTTAAAAAAAGATGAAAAATTAAATTTTAACAATCAGAAAAAGTTTTTTTTAGATTCCCATAAATATTCAAGTTTACATTAGACATATCATATAATTCAAGTTTAAAAAAAAGTTAAAGTGAAAAAATAACAACGTATGAACAAACAATGCAAATTATTTTAGATATTGTCTAAACTAAAAGTTTAAAAGGGTTATGGTGACCAAACATTATAAAATGCATTACTACTTACATTTATTTTTGCGCTTTCAGTAACATTCACCTTTATCAATTGACCTAGTGCAAGAATATCTGCTAGAAGTGATATCTCGCTAACAGAATTCAAATATAAGCTGTCTGTAATCTTAGTAGCAACAATATCAATCTTTTCTTCAGAGGTTAAATAGGATGACTAAAAAAGATTTGAATGTTGAACTTACACAATTATTTTTTCTTATCTATAGATAATATTACTTATATAAAATCTATAAAAATCTATAAAAATATCAATCATTTCATATCAACCTTAATGTTACTTATAAACATATATAAACTACAAGTGTTCCAAAAATAAAATGGGAACCTTCTGATAATTATAAAATATGTAAAATTTTACAATAACTTAGAATAGGGTACATCTATAAAGTCATGTTATGCTCTAGAAGGAGAGGATATATACGTGTGTGTGTTTGTGTGTCTGACTCTAAAAAAATTCTAAATAGAAATGATAAAACGAAGTTATTTATAAAATTAATAAACGCTAAAAATAAATTTATATTATTATACTAAGACACTATAGCGGGGGCAATTATAAAGTTTTCTACAAAAATGGCATAAAATTTTTTTTACTAAGGAGCAATACAAGGTAAATTAGCAGAATTGCAACCAGAACGAATAAATGACATTTAAAATGCATTAAAAAACTTAAGATCTATTTTTTTTTTTAAATTTCTTTTCAAATTTTTTTCAAATTCTTTTTCAATTCAATTATCTTCAATTAATGCCTATAATTATTAACTAGCTAAACATTTAAGTACTTTAGCCAAAACGTGTTTTCACTAAAATATTTACTTTTTTTTTAAATTAAAATTACACATTCTCAGTAATAATTAACTCTTTTGATGTTAAAAGTTTATTTACTAATATTTGATTGGAAGAGACCACTAAATTAGTAGCTTCTAAAAGATTAAATAAAAATAAGGAACTTAAAATTTTCTAATTTAAAAAAATCATTTAGGTTTGGAAATTGTAATTCTCATTTTTTGTTTTGCAGTAAATATTATAATCAATATTATGATGGTGATACTATAGTTTCTCTAATGCTCCTATTTTAGTCAATTTATTCAAGGGAAACTTAAATAGTATTTATTTAAATGAATTTAACAGGAATAAACCTTTATTTTATAAAAAGATAAGTTGTTGATATTTTTGCAAAACTGTATTATTTATCTAAAAAATTTAAATTCTAAACATCCTATTATCAAATTTACATGTAAACATTGACTAACTAATGTTTTACCATTTTTGGATGTTTGCATTCAAAATAATCAGGAACTGTTCCCTGATATTTATCACAATGATACATATACTGGTCTATTGACAACTTTACCTAATTAGTTATGTGGGATTAACAAAACTCTTTTTGACCATAGTTTTAAAATTATCAATATATGGTTTAGTTATCATACCGATATCAAAAACCTCAAAACTGTCTCAATTAAAAATTAGTACCCAATTAAACTTATTGATAAATGATTGATAAATATCATCTTAAATAAAAAAGTCTGTTCACATAAATTTAACAATAACAAATTCCTTAATTACAAATATTTCAGGTTACTGTACATAGATAATTGTTCTAGAAATAATTAAAGAAAAACTTATGATTTAAGAAAACAGTTATGTAAAAAAGATTAAATTATCAAATTATAATTTTCTTCATTGAAAATTAAGCAAGATTTCTCATTAAAAGACTAGGGCAGGGCAGATTAGAAGCTCTAGCTTTTAATCTGCCCTGACCCCAAATTATTACTTTAAATTTTTACAAAAATATTTTACCCTGCTTGTGGGACCCTTGAATCTCAACCAATTTAAAAAATACACTATCCAATAACATGGTAATGAGTTGGTAAGCAGTTGCTATAATGACTAAATATGGATCAAGATTTCAAGTATATTGCATTATGGGTTTAAAAACAGCTTGAGCCCTAGCTTTTATCTATTTCTCAAACCTTTTCATCTGCAAGTGTGCTTTCATCTTCTAATAGTTAAGGCTTAGATTTGTCAATGTTTAATTTAAAAATAAATAATATTATTTTGTGTATTTTTTATTATAATTAAAATTATATTAATAGTTTTAATTATAACAATAATTAGAAAATAAAGATATAAAATTATATCTTTAATTAGGAAGCTGGCTTCCTGATGATCCTACTGACGGAGAAACAAGCTGTAAAAGAAAAGAAAAATTAGATAATTGTTTTTACTAATTTATTATTGCTCTGTTCTTTAAGAACATTGAGCACTTTATTTGTAGAATACACTAACATAATTTATATATATATATATATATATATATATATATATATATATATATATATATATATATATATATATATATATATATATATATATATATATATATATATATATATATATATATATATATATATATACAGAAATTATATTTAAATGCGAAAAACCGGCCAGATATTTTAGTTGTTTTGAGAACATTTAAGTTCACGTTAGCTTCCTTGTTTATCCGCAAAATAATAAGTTCATTGTTTTATCGGTAACTTTAAAAAACTTTGTTTTACGGACATACATGGAAACATACATTAACTCGAATGTTCTCAAACATCTTTGTGCGGAAAAATTAAAAAAGAATATTTGCATTCATAAAGTACTAACTGAAATTTCTAGAGTATTCAAAAAATATAACCAAATGTTTTAGAGAAAGATCTTTAAAATTTGTATTATTTGAGTTTTGTTATGTTTTCGTTGAAATTTCTTGCATAAAATGTTTTAAGAATCAAATGAACTATTATTTTAATTCTCGTTGCCACATTTACAAAGCTATAAATGTTTTAAACTAACATTATTTGTAAATAAATGTTTTAAATTTATATTTTTAACTTGTCAATGTTTTTTAAATATATTATAGATTTTATTAGTATATTCTTACTTTTTATATATAAGGGATGTATTTTTTATGTATGTAATGTATTTTTATGTATGTATTTTTATGTATGTAATTTTATGTATGTGTATTTTATTCAAATGTAATCTTTTAAAGCAATTTGTGCGATTGATTTTGTAAACAAAAATACTTTCAATAATAACTGTGTTTTCAATGAAATTATTAACAATCATTAAAGTTAATACAAATAATTTTAACCACTAATCCATTTTCCTCAGTGTACCCGATAACTGATTCTTTCCCCTAAGAAAGAAAAGTTTTTAAGTTCTTAGAAATTGGTTTACTAATTTTAATTATTTTTGCTTCAGCCATTCGTTGTACTTAAACTTAAAAATACTTTTTTCTGTTTTAAATACTAATTAAAACTATAAAACCCACTCACTAAACATCATCAGCGGTATTGTGAAGCAGTTCCACTTCCTGCTCACAAAGTAATTTAATGTTTTTAGTTAATTTCTATCTAGCTATTTGAATTTCTACAGTAACTCAATGATTTAATTATTTAATTTGTTTATCTTATTAAGAAGAATTGTTTCAAATGTGTTAAACTTTTCAAACTACGCGAAGCATAAAGTAGTTATTGAAAAAACTTTTTTATTTATAAATAAATCATCTAGCTTTAGTTTTATTGGTTTAATCTTGTTAGACTTTTTAGGGCCAGGGGCTGCGTTATTTTGTTGGCCTTTTTTATGTGCCACAGCGTAAAAATGACCAAAAAAAAAAATACCGAATGGTTCTCTTGACTATTTTGCGGCACCTAACATTGTGAGTCCTGTGGCTTTTGCCCTTCTAACCACTCCACCTCCTCAATCAGCACTGGAAATAACACATGTATATCAATAAAAATTATATATACTTTTTGATAAATCGAAGAACATTTTCTTATTAAACAATCATTAATAGTAAGTTGTTACTTTATAAAAAATGTCTTTTAATTTTATAAAAAAAATTATAAAAGAGCGACGTTTCATAAATATTTTTCATAAATATTGCTCTAACCGTATTTATTTAGCTTAAAGTTTTTTCGCGTTAAAAGCTATTTTTCTTTTTTTAACTGTCTCTCATCAGTCCAGTTAATCTAATTGCGCTTTTTTGTTTGTTTTTGAAATGTTCTTGAAACGACTAAAAAATATGGCCAGTTTTTCGCAACTAAATATTATTTCCGTGGTCAATTAATAAGAGCAATCCCACCCGCTTCCCGACCAAGCCTATATATATATATATATATATATATATATATATATATATATATATATATATATATATATATATATATATATATATATATATATATATATATATATATATATATATATATATATATATATATATATATATATATCTGTATATATAAATATATATATATATATATATATCTGTGTATATATATATATATATATATATATATATATATATATATATATATATATATATATATATATATATATATATATATATATATACACACACACACATATTTGTAATTAACACTTACTTGATTAATTGAAGTTAACGCTTCAGTGATGTCTGATTTTATACCGCTTTTTAACATAAATTTAATACATCTTGCATCAGATTTACACCATGCTACTAAATCTGAATAAATTTGAATACAATTTTGAAAACATTGAATACAATTTTTAAAACATAACTAAGTTTAAAAAGTAAATAAAAGAAAACTTTATTACAAGCAAATAAATAACTTTTTTTTAAAAAAACAATTACAAAATAAGTGAAAAAGCCCTGTATAGTCTTTTTTTTTTTAATTTTCAAGGTGTTGAAGAGGTAGTGGAGGAGGACTTTATTGCAACTGTTACTATTTAAAAACTTTAGCCTAATGTCACACACAAGCAGTGAATGATTGAGGGAACAGTAAAACACATTAGAATAGAGAATTATTTTTTAAACAAAGCATACGCTGACAGTTGGCCAGACAAAAATAAAGATTAGTAAAAAGATTTTAAAATATGATGACTAAAAAAAAGACAGACAATGCATCTTAAAATCCTTTTAAAAAATAAAATATTACAATTCTTATAAACACTTAAAATGAACAAATATATACAACAAATCACCTAAAACTTACAAAATAAATACTACAAAACATCTCCTTAGAGTTGTAATAAACATCTCCTTAGAGTTGCGTCATTAATGACAACTGTTGCGCCAATTATTAATGACAATTTGACGAGGATCAACACAAATAACTAATTTTTATCCTGTCAGATAATTATCATCACCATCATAAACATGCTTTACCCTTCAACTCATGATAAAAGTCATGTTTACCACCAAAACAATTACAAAATAAGTAAAAAAAAATCTGTACAAAAAAAGTGTTTGTTTATTTTTATTTATCTTTCTATTCAAGGTATATTAAAAAAGCACAGAAGAAGGACTTTATTGCAATTGTTTTTGGAGTGGAGGATTAATTTTATTGCAACTGTTTTTCAAACCTTAATTTCGATTGAAAGACTGTTCTCATAAATCCTTGCCAATCATAAATACTGTTCAGAGAAAAAATGTTTGTAATAAGTCTTTACACTTTTAAATAAATTTTTAGGCTCTCACTAAATAGCGAGGAAAAAAAAAAATAAAAAAAAAAAATGATTGAAGTATCTCAAAACTGTATCAAAATATACCAGGACAACGATTTTCTGTACAAACTATTTCTTCACGAGAATTACCAGCACATTCTATTCCACCATTTTGAGGTGTAGGATTAGAACAAAAACGATGTCTTTTCTGGCTACCTTCAAAACAACTTCCGGACCAAGAGGTCCAACTGGTCCATTCACCATTAATGGGATTAAGTTCTAAACAAAAATATTTTCTAATTAGTTTACATAAAAAATCTCACATGAATATTTTGGTCATCATTTAGGCAAGAAGTTTGAAAAAAGAACAAGAACAAAAAAAAAAAAAAAAAAAAAAAAAAAAGAAAAAGAACAAGAACTATCTACTTGTACTACAGTTGTCAGTAGAGTTATAAAAATTCTTGCAAACACAAGTGAGGTCTGACGCACAAAACTAGAAAAGAAAAGCAACTCTAAGCATTCAATTTAAAATGTAATAAAATATAATTATGAAAACAACAATCGAAGTGTACCCCATTTCCTGAACATTCATTTCCATTTGTTTTTAGACATGACAGGTGAATAATTTCAGCGTCTGCATTGAAATTGCATTCTTTTTTTCTGCAAACCTAAAATTTTGAAAGGTATAAAAACTTAATCTTGAAAAACCAACAAATTTTTACAGCAGAAATTGTTTTATTTTTTTCGGAAAAGTCGTATAATTGCCAAATAAATATTAATTCAGCATTTGCACAACTTTTTTAAAATAAATAACTTATAAGTTTAAAGTCAGCTTTTTAAATTTATAAATTAAGTAGTATTAACTTTCAATAGAACTATTTATGCAAACAATAAAAATACTAAATTAACAATTAAAAAATTTAATTAAGTAGGTCAAATCAAAACATTAAAATAAAATTCAGAACATCAGATATTAAATCTAAGTTAAGTTATAATGGTGTAGTTTAATTCAATTATTAATTTTACAAGTAAATAAAAAATAAAATAAAAGTTTAACACCTATAAAGACATAAAGACCTGAAAATGTAACAAAATTTGAAACGTATAAAAAACAAAATTTGAAACGTATAAAAAACAAAATTTGAAACGTATAAAAAACAAAATTTGAAACGTATAAAGACATTGTTAACATTTAGTACTTCTAAATCTGTCTTACCATTGACTTTCACTTCATATTAAATCTTAAAAAACTTAAAATCTTTATTTGTGGATTAAAATATCACAATTAAATAAAAACAAAACAAATCACAACAATCAAAATTAAAACTAAAATTAAACTTGAGATAACCGTTTAAATCTACTTAATCTGGCTAAGATTCTTTTTATGTGTTTTCGTTTAGCAGCATTTTACTAATTCACCTTTCACTTTGTTCTATATTGCTTTCCTTTATCTCAAGACTGCATGATTTTCGATGTTATTTCTGATCAAATTGACCAACTCCCTTCTCTTTATCCTTCAGCCAATATAATTGTAGTTACAACTTTTATAATTGCTTACAACTTTTGCTTTTCTCAATCTCAAACACTAACAGTCAATTTTCCAAACTGTTTTCAAGACAATCCAAATCATTTACCTTCTCTACTCAACTTATTTCTTTTTTAAGTCTTGTTTCTCATTCTAGTTAGAGCTCAGTTTCTTCATATTAACCCTCAGGGTTAGGGTGCTTAGGTTAGGCTACTCTACTTATTTCTTGTTTCTGATTCTAGTTAGAGCTCAGTTTCTTCATGTTAACCCTCAGGGTTAATATGAAGAAACTGGTGCTTAGGTGCTTCTAATCTAATATATTTATATAATTTTTTGATTAACCCTCAGGGTTAGGGTGCTTAGGTGCTTCTAATCAAAATTTGATCTCTCTGAACCTATTATCTCTTCATCATCGTAATTCCTCTATCATCGTACATTTTACAACTACCTTAAAGTTGACAGGGAAACTTTCTGAGATTTTCTTTGCGATGGCCTTTGGGTAGAAATCTATGGCATCACCTAGAGACATTGCATTTATTAAAATGTCACTTGCATCTTATAAATTAGTGGCGCAATCTCACTTCGGAACAAAACCATGGTGATCTATGGTGATTAGGTTATTTTTAGTGCAATGTTTAATTGTATAATTTATTGCGAATAAAATTCTACCTAAAATTCTATGTTATCATAATAAGTTACAAATTGCTTGCTACAAAAACTTATAGTTATAAAGACTGTTGCATATTTTTAAGTCTTTTCTAAATACTTTACTAATTTTAAAGAGAAACTGGTACATAATTTGTGTGATCCCCTTAGTAAATCCTTTTAACAGATAGAAATGATTTTGGCTGAACATACAAAAAAAGCCTTTTTTCAAAAGAATTATTAAATATCCTACAGAGAGACTTGGAAATAAGATAAGAAAGGACTATATATATTTAAGAAGATGTGTGGGAACAATATTTAGGCCTAAACTTTTATCATTTTGTGGGCTGTTTTTTAATTAAACTAGACACTTCATTTTCAGTTACTGAATTGAGAAATTAGTTTTAAAATTAAAACTTTTCGTTATTAAATGTGCATGTACAAAATATTTAACCTTCAAAGAATTTTTTATATATTTCGCAAAAAAAGTTTTCTTAAATTATTGCTTAATATTTTTGAAGGAATTAAAATAAATTTTCAAAGTTTTGCTTTAGAGTCTCAACGATTGGAGTCATAGTCAGTACTCAACACTCTGATATATATATATATATATATATATATATATATATATATATATATATATATATATATATATATATATATATATATATATATATATGCATATATATATATATATATTAAATATATATCCATTATATATATAAAATTAAATATATATATAAAATTAAATATATATATATATTATTATATTTTAAATATATGTATATATATATATATATATATATATATATATATATATATATATATATATATATATATATATATATATATATATATATATATATATATATATATATATATATATATATATATATATATATATATATATATGTTAAATACATAAATTATTAAGTTAATATTTTATTAAATATTATTACTTTATTAAATAAAGTTACAAATTAATTCTTATGTTTACAATAAACACATTTTTTTCAAATTATCAAAGTATCAATATAGGTTTTTACATTTATATAAATACGCATTTTTTTTATAAATCTTTTTAAACTTTTTCTAGGATTAATTTTATCAACACTTTTAATAGCGAAAACTTTTAGCGCGAAAACAAACGCTATGTAACAACTCAAATTTAAAAAGTACTGATTTCTATAAGCATTAAAATAACTTTGACGTTAAAATTTTTATACAACAAATTTAAAAGGGATTTTGAAAGCTAAAGTATTAGTTTGAAATTAATAAAAACCATCAGACAAAAAAAAACAAAAATACTTAACTATAAATTTTAATAATAACTAATTGCATCAATTTAATATGAATGAACCAGGCTACTTAATTCGAAAAAATGTAATGCTTTGGCGTCTTTTAAAAAATGAATTAAATCAAAAAAATGGCATATTTTATTAGCGTAGCCTTGTGTTCAACTTCAATTTTGTTTTGTATAAAAAATTAAAAGTTTAAAATATAAGTTTATATATAATATTGAATTTATTAATAATTTTAGAACAACTAAAATGATTTGAAATTAAATGTACATAAAATGTCTGACAAAATGACTGATAGATGTGGTTATTTACCGGATAAGTGCCAGACAATGTCCGATGTCCGGCACTTATTTCAGGCCCTGTTTATGTTTATACATTAAATATATACACTTAATTTTAATAAGTGAAAAAAGTGAAAATACTGTATTTAACTTGCAAGAAGTTCCATCACGAAGGATTTTGTCATCTGGACACTAAGTAAAAGTAACAATATAACAAATTAAACATTCATTAGTTTATAGGTATGGAAAAAACCATTAAAATAAGAATATTCTGATTAATTATGAACACAAAGGAAACTGTGAATACAGTTTCATTATCTCCACTGCAATACTCTGCTATATCACATTCATTGACTTTGATTCTGCATAAAGTACCTTGTCTTTTGAACTAAAAACAAAATATAAAAATATTAACTGCAAAGCAAAATATTGTTTTTACTTTTATATCAAATGGTATTATAGTCTTATTTTCTTTTTAATACAATATGTTTTTATTAAATATTTATTTCATATTTGCAGTTTTAAAACAAGTTATTTGAGTACATCTCTTTCAAGAACTTACAAACAATGACTCAAAAGTTAAAGTTCAGGGTTCCACACTAGTTTAGTAATGATAGAAGAGTTATGTTTTTCTGATTAGAAATGTGTAGGTATTGAAACTTTATATAAATAAATGCTTTTAAATTAATTGTAAAATTCATTAAACTTTAATTTATTTTATGTAAAATTCATTGAAAAAAATTCTTTTTCAAAAGAGGAGTTCTAGAATGTGATCAAAAAACTAAAGTTTCATGATTTTAGTAAAAAGAGTGTTCTAAGCTACCTCACAAGAGGTTTTTTTAAAATTTGATGAAATACATTTCATTGTTAATTTTATTTTATAGAAAATCTTTGTTTCATCATTCAAATATTTTAGATATGCAATGTTAAGGTTGCTTGTTTAAAACTGGTTGTTAAACACAAGAATTTATAAAAGCTTTACTTTAAACAAAACAAGAATTTATATCAGCCTTACTTTAAAAAAAAAGATTTTCTAAAAGACTTACTTAAAAAACACAAGAATTTATAAGTCTTACATAAACTATAACTATCACCACACAAACATTCTAAAATATTTGTGTGATTACACTCTTAGTCACGTTCTAAGACATACTAGGAATTTTTTTTATTAGAATAGAATAGATTATTTCTAAAACATATTTAGAATTTATTAAAATGATATTATATAATTATTCATACAAAGATATAGAAACTGGAGCAAACAAAGCATTTCATTATTGATGCTAATGCTTCTATGGAAGCAATTGCATAATTAATAAAAGTTTTCTTTATTAGTTTAAACATTAGTTTTTATTATTTATTATTTTATTAGTTTTTGTTATTTGTAACAAAATCTTTTGTAATATTCCTATATTTACTAATTTTTAGTCCTTTATTCAGTTTTTATTTTATATTATTTTATTAGTTAACAGTTTTTCACAGGAAGACGTTTGGTTTGTGGGGAATTTGGTAAAAACCGAGAATGGTGGGTAACCTGTGCTGCATGTGGTGACTGGGCCCACAATGACTATACAGATCTCCACCATAAAAACAATATTTATATTCATGACTATTGTATTTAATAGTAATATTGTACTACTTATTTTTATTAATTCTTAAACTCATAAACTTATTCTTCTAAACTCTTATAAAAATTATTTTTAATAATTATTATTCTAGTTTTCATTATTTCTATTCAACAAAAGAATTGAATTAATGCCAAAAACCAGGCTGCCAAAATTGCCCCAATTGTATGTATTTGCCAATAAAGTACTTTATAACATACATTGTAGTAATTCTTTTACCATAGTTACATCTCAGACCATTATAATACAACCCTAAAAATGGCAAAAACCCTTAAAGGGCCACCATTCCTCCGACCTTTCCTAGTTAAGTATTTCTTTATTTTCTCTTTCGTTAATATTCTTTTTTTCTTTTTCAAAGTTTTTTTTAATATAAATTTAAGTAAGTTTTTGTAACGCATTTTTAAATTTTGAAAATATGTTAAAAGTCATGGTCAAATCGTCAAAATAAATTATTTTTTGTGTGGTCATATAATTGCGTGCAATCGCACGGGTTCCTGTCAAACATTGATAACAGTTTTTGTTATTTGTTACAAAATTTTTTATTATGCTGCTTTTAAACTGATATAAATTTATCAAATAAACCATCAGAATAATTTGATAAATTTAAATCAAATTTCACAAATTTATGGCCCTGGGTTTTGCATAATATTTAAACAAATGAATGAAGTTGCTTTTTGGTGAATTTGATAAATTTATCAAATTTTTATGCTTTATTAGATTAATTTGATAAACTTATATTAAATTTCACAAATTTATGGCTCTTGGTTTTGCATAATATTATATATACAAATTTATATATACAAAACAAATAAATGTTGCTTCTTAAAAGTAATTCGTAGTTCTTGAAAAAATCCCCAAATCCAATAAATTATAATCTTAATTTGGGATTATTTTTTGAAAGCCAATGACTAATGATAATGAAAAAACATAAAAAGAAAAAAAAACTATTACATAAAGAAATAGACGGAAGAACAAATGTAATTACATGTAAAAAAAAACTTGAATTATTTCTACTTTAATTTCATTTTTTTTATTTTTATTTGTTTGACATTTAATGTTGCATTGAACATTATGTAAACTATTGGAATTCATTTACTATTCAATTGTGTTTTTGATTGATATCTTATTTATGTATGAATAACCCTCTCTCAACTTTATAACTCCTAAACAAGAGAGAAACAAGTTGAGCGTGGTACTACCAGGGACCTGGTGGAGATCGAACATCACAAAATAAAATTATTCTAAAAACAATTAAATCATCTAAATAATAATTTAGATATCTAAACAACATATGATTGTTGTTTAGATATCTAAACTACCAATTAATTAATAAAGAACTTTAAGTAAAATGCTTATGATAGTACCATTTTCTTTTTAAAATAAAAATAAAAAGAGTTCCTCTAAAATTGCATTAATTTTTTTAAAACTTTTCTTTAAAAAAACTAAAAAATATTTTTTTTTTTAACTTAAGTTTTTTAAAATAATGGCTTGGGTCCAATTATTTGTTTGCCAGTACTGATTCCATGAAAAAGATTACACAATTTAAAATTGTATGATTTTATATTTTCAAAATTTTAATAATTAGATTTTATTGGAATCGTCATCAGTATTGGTCATTGATCATTGGTATCGTCATCAGTATTGGCTTTTTTTTTTGTGATCTATCAAAAGATTATAATATATATATATATATATATATATATATATATATATATATATATATATATATATATATATATATATATATATATATATATATATATATATATATATATATATATATATATATATATATATATATATATATATATATATATATATATATATATATTTATAGAGAAAGATAACGATTGATAGACGACTTAAAATTGCAAATTATATGAACCAGGAAAACAAGATGATGGGAGCGAACTCTAAAGAACTGATGCTCAAAAAAAAGAACTAGACAAATAAAAATACTTGGATCACTTAGGAACAGTCACAGTAAAAGGATGAGACTTAATTGAATGATGAGTAATACAAGAATGAATTTTAGTATATGACATGAGATGCGCTATGATAATGGTTGGCAGTTGGTTGCAAGAGCAGGTCCAACGTATGGTATGTTTACCATACGTTTTTGCACCTTGTTTAAAAGAGAAAGAATATCATTGGAAGATCTGCCCCAGATTTATAAAAATGAAAAATAGAATCCTGAGTAAGAAAGAAGAGCGATAAAGAGATGCAACCTTGGCAGTTGCTAATTTTGTAATTAATTTGATATATGGTTTTCAAGAAAGATCGGAGGTAGGAGTTAATCCTAGAAGAATATAAAATTAATTCCTAATGGATTTATTACATAACTCTAACTTTATGAATTTTAAAAAAGATTATATAAAATATCAATATTATTCTATAAATTATGTGAATACTGTAATACCTTATTCAGTGTATGTTTGCAGAGTTAATTTTATTTTGCACATTTAGCTCTATATTGACATAAATATTATAAACAAATTCTCAAAAATAATCTTATCATTAATTTTGCTTAGAAAGTATAAATACAGAAACTGTATATTTAAATTAAATATAACATTTGTGTTTGGGGGACAAATAAGCCATGAACTGAAATTTCAAGCATAGTTATTTCAATGAGTAAATAAAATTTTGACCAAGAATCATTAAATTAGGTAAAAGTTGATTGTTGAATTTTTACATCAATTACTCTACACTAGGAATGTCTCTTTTACTTATTTTGATGTAAAAACTTCTAAAAACTTTTGTTTATCTTGAGGTTTTTATCTTAATTATCTGCTACATAAAAGTTAATTTCTAAAAAAAAAAAAAAAATCATTTAAATGTTTTGAAAAACTTTTTAATAAAATATATTTTAAAAATAGGTCATTAATTTTTCAAAAACTTCCCTATTTTAGTTTATAAATTCATTAAATCAATACCTTGTTTTCAAGTTACTGTTCAAAGTTAAATCAGCGCGCATTTTCAAATAGCTTTTGCAAGATCTATATTTAGATTTTACATAAAAACATCAATTTCATAAAAACATTGTTTTATAGAAAATCTTAAGTTTTACAATGTAACTACATAATTTTGACATAATTAAAGGTTGTTTTTTAAAATTTTGTAAAAAAGTTTACAATATTGTAAAAGTTTTATAGGATATTTTATGTTACTATTGAGTTTAATCATATATAATCTAAAAAAAGATGGTAATTAATGATTATATGATGGTAATTAAAGATGGTAATCTAAAAAAAGATGGTAATCTAAATGAAGGTTATTAGGGTTGTGAACAACCCAATAACCTTCATTTATACTAAAGGTTGTGAGCAACCCAATAACCTTTCAGTATCGGTATCCAATTCTACTCATAGAATTGTTGTCGGAAACAGAATAATTTTCATTATTCTTTTCCAGACAACATTATTCAAGTGATTTAACTTGTGAATTAATTCTTTTCCAAAAATAACTTTAATTTTGATTAGAATGATCGCTGAATAAAAGAAGCAAAAATACAAAACTTAAAATAAAATTGAAAAATGCAGACACATATCCTAAGCAAGAACACTAAACCTGACAGTCTTTTAAAAGAAATTAAAAATTAAATTTTTACAGTTCTGAATAACTTATGTAAATAACATCTAGTTTATTTATTTATTTATTTTTTTTTAAATTTATAGTAAAAAAATGGCTGAAAGAAAATGGATAACTTTTGAAAACTGTACCAGCTACTTAAATGATTGAATTTAATATAGAACGCAGTAGGGTGATTAAAAAAATGTATTTTTTAATAACCCTAATTCTTTTTAAAGAAAAGTGTTTAACTTATAAGAAAAAGTAATTAACTTTTAAAATTTTAAAAGTAAACAGCTTTTTATATTTTTTACATGTAAAAGTTTCTGATGTTTATTTACTTTATACTTTTAAAAGTTAAAAAAATTTACATTATTAAGTATAACTTGTTTCATAAAAATTAATTACTTTTACGTAAATGTAAATTAAATTTGAATGTTTAAAATTATATATAAAATTTAGTTTTTCATAGAAATTTACTTACTCATGTGAGTAAAAAAAATCTAAAAAAGCCATCCCTACTCTACATGCATCAAGCCTGACAGAATCTTAAATAAATTAAAATAAAATACCTACATAACAATTTGGCTGACAGCAGTCAGGGTTGCTTTTATGACTGCATTGAGCATCGACTTTCAAAACACAACTTCCTGGTTCACAGCAATGATCATTATTTCTTTGACACATCTGTAGTAATCAATTTTAATGTATTACACATCTATAGTAACAAATAATTGTGCATTACACATCTGTAATAGAAATAGGCTGAATATTGGGACCTAAAACTTAAGGATAATGATTCCAAACATGTAAAGAAAATAACCTAATTTAATGTTTCAAATACTTATTTTGTTATTTTTAATAAACTTATTGTTTCATTACCATGAGCTATGCTTTCACTATTTCCTAAAGATGCCCAACTTTCTTAGGTTTAAATTATTAAGTGTTAAAAAAAATTTTTTTGGTCTAAAGATGACTATAAATATTTTTAAGTTTCTTTATCGAAACCTTACTCAGTAGTCAATAAATAGTTTTATTATTTCAAAGTAAAAAATTGTTAAAACTTCTGTAAATTGTTAAAATTTCAGAACAGAAAACCCAGAAAATGATAATAAATCAAAATGTTTTTAATAGTTTGAACTTTTATTAGAGGACTGCAGTGTCAGCATATTTTCACTGCAGAGTCAACATATTTTCACTGCAATGTCAACATATTTTCACTGCAGTGGTTTTAACATTCAAAATTTTTTTGATATGTTAAATTTCAAAACCACTGCAGTGACAACTTGATGATTGAGTAATAAAATAAAATCTCATATACCAACCTAAACTTTTTTTTAGATCTTTTAAAGTTATCAAAGGTAAATAACTTGACTTTAAGAATTTGAATTAGGAATTTGAATTGAAAAACATTGATTTGGGAAAGATGATTTTAGTGATTTTGAAAATTTTAAACTGCATTAAAAAAACATTTTTTTTACAAAATGTGCTTTTAATTGGTAGATATACTCTCTATTATTATTAATTAGTAAGAGTAATTAGTAAGAATCATAAAAAATCATCGCTTGTTTTTTTAGAATTATTTGAAGCTGTTTTTGAATTTTATTGTCGGTTTCCTAAACAAATTTTCCTCTAGGTTGGCGTGATATAAAAATTATTGCAAACCAATAAAAAACTGCATCATTTTTTATTTTTTGTCCCTTTTATTACAAGCGTAAAACATTTTGAAAATAAAGAAGTTCTAAGTTTTTGAGTGCCAAAATTTTTTGATAAATTTACAGAGGATCTATTGAAGAAAGTTTAAAAAACCAATATTTCTATATCAAAGAAGGTGTAGAGAGTTTTTTTAATAGTATTTTTGTTCAAGCACATAAGACGTCTCAAAAAATATTTTTGAAATTCAAAATGTAAATAATTGAAATCATTATCATAGTGTTTCTTCCAGTAAAAATTTCAGCTCCTAAAGTCAAATTAATTAATTAATATTAAAAATTAATTGTAAAAAATTAATTGTAAAAAAGGTATTTTTTGGCTATTCCTATATAATAAAGTTTTTTAATTTACAAATCAAAAAAATACCTGTGAAAAACAAAAATAAATAATGGTGAATAAAAATAGTAAATAACAAAACATAAAAACATGTAACAATAGTCTTGAATATTAAATCAAAAATGTATGAATAAAATAAACTGAAAAGTATTTGTAACATATTTTTAACGTATTTGAGTCATCTTAATGAAATTATTTTGTAACAAAAACCACAACAACAAAAAAAGGGAAAAAATAAACATGAAAAAACCTCCAAAGTTCCACAATCACATTGTTCACCATCTTCATGAATTCCATTGCCACAAGTTTTTCCGAATTGCTTTACAAAAGAGCAAATCAAAAAAGATTTTTATAAAAATGAATAAAAAAACTTTAAAATAAACATAAATTAAAATAAAATAAAAATCCATATTTATTGATTTATTTCAAATATCAATTAATATCGTAGGTGATGTTAACAAAGTTACAATCAAAACTATTTGTCAAAATCTGCCGGTAATACTCTATTAAAAAGCTTGAATTAATAATTCTAACAGCTTCATTGCATTTGCACTGATAAAGTTGTCTTTTTGTAAAATTAAATAGCTTATAGTCTTAGCTATTTCTGAAATTATTTTCGATTTTCTTTTATCATTTAAGTATTATTTGAATATTTTGGTTCATTTTTATAATATCAAATTTGTTTTTGTTGATCCCATTATTCGAATAGATATAGCATGTTATATATTTCAGTAATGATGCTTGACCATATTCCATTTATTATTATTTGTTTTTTCATGTTACAACTGCTTTTAATTAAAATTTCTTTCGTTATATTGTTCTATGATAACCTTTGAAAAAAAAAACCAATTGTAATTTCAATTTTTCTGTTTGCTCTTTCTATTTATTTGCTCTATTTTATTTAAATATATTTAATATCTGTGTCAATTTTGTTCTTCTGCTGATACTTTAATTGAAATTGATTCAGTTGTTTGGAGATTTTTTATTTCTTTTTTATATAAAGTTAAACATTCAGTTCCATAACATAAAATTGATTGACAGTATATCTTGTATAATTAAATTTTCATTTTTGGATTTATTTCGCGTAAATATATTTTTGCAGCACAAATAGCTTTTGTGAAACTTTTTTTTCCAGGTGAATATCATTCTTTAAGTTATCGTTTAATTTAAGTCTGAAATATGTTTAATTCAAGTTTTGAATATGTTTAAAATTCAACTTCATCAATTTACATCTTTTCTTTTTCAATTATTATCCTTTTGTTTTTTATCTTTTTACTATTTCTTCAAATAATTTATAAACCGAGTTTTTGTAGATTCCAAGTATTTTGTTAAGTTTCTCCATATTTATTTGTTATTCTTGGCCTTGACCTTACCTTAAAGCCTAAAATTGAGGCCTTGATCTTGAAACTGTTGGCATTGGCCTTGAAAATTTTAGCCTTGGCCTCGATTGTTTTTGCCTTGGCCTTAGAAAAAATACATATTTTCTTTTTAACTTTGTTGAATTCTGCGCATAGCCTTGGTCTATTTTACAAAATGTATTTTTATCATCACAGCACTTGCTACTTACAGTTTTGTTAATAAATGCCCTTAATGTAAGGCAAAAATTGAAGTCTTTGGTCTTAAAAATGTTTGCATAGGCCTTGGAATTGAAACTCCTAATCTTGGCCTTAATCTTAAAACTCCTAGCCTTGGCCTTGTCCTTGTAACTTTTGGCCTTTGGGTTGACCTTGTAAAGTTCAAGTTATCCAATGTTTGATTTACTGGGAATTAACTGTATTTCATTCATGCCTATATAATTGTTTGATACAACTACAATATCATCTACGTACATTATTTCTAATTTGAAATTCTTCTTTTATTTTCTTTAATTAGATCTATTTTATAAATTGAAAATAATAACGGAGATAGAGACCCTCCTTGCTTGACACCAACTGTTGAAGCAAATACTTCTGATCTCTCAGAAATATTTGCTTTATTAGATATACAAAATAATTATTATTATTTTGTATATCTGCATTTGATACCTTACAGTATTTTTTTAACATGCACCAGTATTTACAGGGGTGCGCAGATTATTCCAGAAAAAATAAATTTGAATATGTTAAAAACCATTCGTATTACATCACTGAAAATTTGATCACAAAAAAAAAAAAAAAACATTAATCGACATAAAAAGTTCAATGTAGTTCAATATAGCCCCCACTAGAATCTACTACACTTGCACAGGCACTCATTTCAGCTTTGTTGCACCTTATTTGGGTACAGACTCTTCCATATCTTTGCTGATAAACTTGTATATGTTTTGAGGGCTTCTTTGACTCCATGAAGCCTCAAATGGTTAAGTCCACTGGTTTCATGTCTGGGCTAAAAGGGGGTCACATGTCCGTTGACCACAAAGAATATTCTCTTGAAGAAAGGCAACGGTTTTCTTGGCACTGTAAGCAAGTGCAGAATCTTGCATGAAGGACAATTGATCATTACCAAACTTCTTCTTGGCCCAAGGCGACAAGTTAGCTTTTTTGAAGTCAACATAGGTTGTTTGATTCAACCATTTTTTAGCACTTAAAAAGTACACTCAGTAAAAAGATGAGACTTAATTAAATGCCAACTAACACGAGAATGAAATTTAGTAGTTGACACAATAATACTCTGTGAGTTTGTACCATGACAACATTAGAAGCAGGTAATTTCATTAATGCTTTTCTACTTAGTCTGTTATTGCATTTTTCTACAAAAATTCGACAACCATTTGTGATACATTTGTTGACGTTCCAAAAAAATCTGCCTTCGAGATAATTAGGAAATTTTGTAGTGCTGACACTTATATTACACTGTCTTTGTCACCTAAGGCAATTGACAATCACTTTTAACTCATTTTAATGTTTTATCAATTTGATATTCGGTCAATTTTATTTTGCTTAAAACCACCTATTCCATTGAAATTGGACTTTGTGCTGCGAACCCAATTGTGTGCTGCCTTATATTTGACACCAAAAATTTGTGCAAAAGTCACCTGGTTGTCATATTCTTCTGTTAGCGGAATATGCTGAAAAAACATTTTTATAAATTACAATGTTTTTTTTTTCAACTTGTTCGATTGTATATATTTTATGCCATCAAATCTAATAAATTGGATCAAGTTGTTTTAGAAGTGGATGTATTCCCAATTTCATATTACAATTCCAAAATTAAATTTTGTGTTTCTCAATTACTTGTTATGTTTTTTAAATTACATGTTGTGCTTCTCAATTACTTATTACAAAATCTAAACTACATGTTGCGTTTCACAGTTACATATTACAATTTCTTAATTACAATTTTCATGTTCTCAATTACATCTTGAAAAAGTGTAATGTTTTCTCAATTTTTTTTTTTTTTTTTTTTTTGGATAGGAGTTGACTGAAAAAGTTGAAAAACATGTTGCAAAAAAATTATTTAAATTTGTATTTAAAGAGAACCTTTTGTAAATGTAAGTTTAAATATCTGGAATTCTGGATTCAGAATTCCAGATATTTAAACTTTTAGTTTTTTTTTCAGATATTTTAAACTTTTAGATTTCCAAAAGGTTATCTTTAAATACAAATTTAAAAATACTTTTACAAATATCTTTTGTCAAATTACTAGACAGAATTTTGTTTTTTTTTTACTTGAACTTTTCAAGTACATTTTTTTTTTAAACTCATAATTCAACAATTTAATTCAACAACAAAAAAAAAATTACTTAAAAAATTCATAAATTTAATTACAACAATGATAGAGCAAACAATAGAGCAAACATTCTTTGAATTAGAATTTATAAGCATAATTAAAATTTGTAAACACATACAGTTGAAGGGTAGTTTAAAAGACAATTATAGTCTTCTGTATTATTTAAAACATCCATATTGCAGGTTGAAAAGCCTGTTCCTCTAAATCTAAACAACATTGTTAAAATGCAGAAACAATACATATGAAAAATCAAGCAATTCAATCAAAAAATCAAAAGAACAAATTGTCATAATGATAAAGTTATATCTTATAATATTATATTATATCAAGCAGTCATATGACATCACCATTAAAGATATTTATTGAAATCTTTAAATTAAACGATAATTTATTAAACACTTACAGAAATTAGTTAAACTTTTACATAAAAAATACTTTTTGAGGATTAAAGTTAACTAAATTTAACATACTTGGATGTTTGCATAACACATCCCCTAGCAGTTAAACACATGCAATCTAAGAAATAAAGAACAGTAAATAAATCATTAAATATTGAATAATAATAATAATAATAATAAAAATAATAGGAAGAAAAATGATAATAATAAATAAGAGTAGTAAATAAATCATTAAATATTGAGTACAAATAAATAAATGATTTGATAAGATATCATTAAAGGTGAACAACTATTAAAAAAAAATATTTATGAAAACTCATATTCATAAAATGCTTACAAGTAGGTTTCTGCTCCTTCACATTCTTTGCTCCTTTTTCCATCTCCTGCATAATTATCTCTCATACTAGTGTCTGATCTTTTTATATATTTCAATAAGTGACCAACTGAGCCATCCAGTGCTGCCCAGTTACATAGACCTGGGAAATGTGATAATAGAATCACATTTTACATTTGACTTGTTAGTCAAAAAATAATAAAAATTATATTTTATTCTCTTCCACATTTTCTTTTCTGTTGTGATGCTGCAATTTCCAACTGTAACCATTAATTCTATATTTATCACCAAAACAATTCTCCAGTAAAAAGATGTTTGTTTACTATTGCTATAAGCCATTGTAAAAAGATTTTGTCTAATGCTGAAGCCCGCTATTCTCAATTCATAAAATCTTGCATATCATCTCAAAAATTAGGATCTCACAATATCTGGAAAATCTTTAACAATATTTATAATAAGAGCAAATCTTTTATTCCGCATCATTTAAATTTTGTCACCTCACCTAAAGACAAAGCTGAATTGTTTGCTAAGAACTTCTCATTAATTTCATCTCTTGATTCCACTAATCGCATCCTACCTGATATAGCCAACAAAGAGGTTTTACTATAATTTGACATTTGTATCACTCCAGCATCTGTATCTAAACTGATTTCCTGCTTAGACTATTCTACTGCATGGTCAGAAAAAGTTTATTTTTTTATAAATTCCTATGTTTTTTGTTATATATACTGAATCAGATCTATTGTAATTCTACTGTTTGTTTTTTTATTCATTATGATTGCTAATTTTTAAAAGTTTTGTTGTTGTTATTATTGTTGGTGAATATATATTTATCCTGTTTCTTTAATTTAGTTTGACTATCGTCTTCAATTACTTTATTTAAATTCTTCTATCATCTATCATTAGATAATTCTATCATCTAAAATCTAAAAAAACTTATACTTATAATTAATATAAAATACACTAAATTGTAGCTATTATTATTACTACTTTGTTACTATTTTTATTATTATTGTTTTATTCTAATTATTATTGTCATTATTACTATAATTATATATTTATAAACATATTTTTCAAGGCATTTATTTGAAATTAATAATTCAATACTATTTTTAAATATCCATGATAATTTCAAATATCTATAATATTTTCAATATTATTTCAAAGTATATATAATTGATTGATTTAATGAAGCCAGCATCATTTTACACAGTGTTTTACACATTATTTTACACAGTGTTTTACACATTATTTTACACAGTCTAAATCCACAAATTTATAACATGAAGTATTTTTCACTAGAATAAATGTAAAATTTTTTCAAAGAATTTTAGTTTGCTTACATGCCTAATCTCACTTTTTACTTTTTTTTTTTACTTTTTTTACTAATAACCTACTTTTTTGTTTGCTTTGAAAACTTTGTTTAAGATCTTTTTTGCTTGCTTTGAAAACTTTGTTTAAGATCTTTTTTGTTTGCTTTGAAAACTTTGTTTAAGATCTTTTGTCACAAAAACTGGGACGGTTGATTTGATTCTATTTTCTAGATTTTTTTATTTTTATTTTGTGGTTCTAAATTAATTACTAAATTTTTAAGATCTTTAACATAAAAATTAGTAATATAATTTATTTTCTTGTAGTTTTTTATTGTAAAATATTTTTCTGTTGTAAATTGGAATGCGTAAAAAGTAAAGTATTAGGAATTTGATTTTTTAAAGATCTTGAATTCTTTTTAAAATTTGTTACTTATTTACCAAAAAAAATCCTTTAATTAGGTACAATAGGTCATTCTCAAACTTTCTAAATTAATGGGAAAAAGATGTTGTAAGTTCAAAATTATTATTACCTAGGTTATTACAACATCATATCAATTACATCATCTGTACTTTCGGTTTAGTTTTAAAAGCAGCTGCGGTTGAGGACAAAATCTTTTAATAAAATGCTCATTTTTTCTGATCAAAGTATATAAGATATTTTTTTTTAGCTTAGAGATCACTTACTCGTATAGTATGAGTAAGTGATCTCTAACCTAAACAAAATTGAACGAAAAATTAATGCTAAATTTGAATAACGCTTTTTGAGTAAAATATTTTGTAAAAAGATAAAGGAAAAGACAAAACAAAAAGAAAATATTGTTCAAACATATATAAATACTTGAAATATTATAACAGAAAATTAAAAACCTGTTTTATGCTCATCTTTAAATCTCATAAGCAGTCCAATTAAAAAGCTTATTCTTTTAATACCAAAATTTGTATAATCAAACTGTGTGTAAAAAACAGAATTACTAATCCAATTAATTTTTAATTTTCAACAAATCTTTAATCAAGTACTTTAATAGTTTCATTGAACTTTTGTTATCTTGTTTATTTTTTTTACTCAAAGAAAAAAGTTACCTTATAAACTAAGCCAGAATAATCCTGACAAAAGCGAAATTCATTTCCTGCCCAATAACTACTGTCTTCATGACTAAAAAAATTTTTTTAAAAAGTTAAACACTAAAACAGAGACTAAAATAAAATATTTTTTTAAAGAAACAATAATAATAAACTATTAGTAAAACGGGATCAAGACATAACTATAAGGTAAAATCAAGATAAGAGCAAGATGTAACTTAGAATTTTAGTTAATTTTTTTTAGCAAAAAAAAATTCAAATTTTTTTTGAAGAAACTTTATTAAACTGAAAAAAACACACATCTCACCCTTACACTTATACACCCTTACACTTATAGAGAATAAAATATTCAAGTCAATTGGTAACTAAGCAATGCCTAATTAAAAAAGCAACCAATAATAAAAATTAAAAACAACCTATTTTTAAAGAAATAACTTATTTTTTTGATGAGGTCAAGCAATTAAGAGGTTTTAACAGTTGAGTTAAATTGTCACTTTTTGGTGTAATAAAACTTGATGTGATCATTTAGGTATGTATACTTGATAATGCCAATCGTTGCATTTTGAATATTTTGATTGATACCATTCACTATTTTGCCAGTTGATATGTTGAAGCTTTGTCCTAAACCTTAAGGGCTTTTTTACACTTGACTTGATTTGCTCCTGTTGTAGGAGTTGCTGTTGTTTCTTGATTTATTTAATGCTCATTATCTTTTTTTTGTTTAAATTTGTTGGTTGGTAAACATGTCGCTAAGCTAATACAAAACAATTGGATCAACTAAATTTTTTATTAAACTTTGGTGCTGATTGTGTTGGCAATAGCATAGACTTTGGTAATTGAGATGGCAAAGACTCAGTTTGAAATAATAGTTTTAAAATTACTGGCAATTTGTAATTAAGACTTATTGATTTAGTTGATGTCAAACAGCATTTTAAAATCCAGTGACAATTTGCTTGTGTATAAATACTTCAATAGAGCTAAAAGTTTTTACATGCTGTGAACAAAAGCATTCTTTTTAATAAATTTTGATAGACTGCCGACTTTGCTTCAAGCTCAAAATTGCTGCTAGTAGTTTGTGCAAAACTCATTTGAAATAGAAATGAATGCCAACATATAGTGGCTACATTATGTGGCACAAATGATGTTTTCAATCCTAATAGGTAGGACACACCTGAAAAGAGTTTTGCATGCTGATGACAGAGCAGCTTTTTGCTGCTTTGTATTTTGGCGAGCACAAATTGCTCTTTTGTGTATGGTTTTCTGTTGTTTTATATTTTGCATGCAAGTATTTTTCAAGACATTTTATATCAGAATTGAGTTAATAATAACTGATTTGAGATTTATAGTTTGAATTTAACTTATTAACAAAAGTTCTAACTAGGGGTTGCCTGTAAAATCAGTATGCTCATAAGGGGAAAATGATATAATTTTTATCACTATGTCATTATAACTTCTATTTCATTGAAAACTGTTTTACTCTATATTATTTATCAGTTATTTAAAAAGCCAAATTAGAAATTTTTTTGAAAAGGTTTATCTAGAGGAATAAGTTGAAATTCCAAATTGGATGTAAATACAGGGAACTTATTAGTGCATTTAAAACATTTAATGCTGTCAGACAGAAATGCTTTTAGAATGTCTCTAACTCCTTTTATAAAAATTCTATTTAAAAAAAAAAAAAAAAAGGTTTTAGAGCTCTCATAATTTTAATTACACCTTCAATATTGACAAGTACATACCTATGTATATCATATTGACGACAAGTACATACCTATGTATATTGACAACAAGTATTTGTTTAAGTATATTGTCAACAAACACACGTTCAAGTTTGTTAAACAAGGGTTTCATAAAAAAAATAAAAACTAAACTGAATTACTGAGATAAAAGAATGTTGTTTGGTTTAAAAACAGAAGTTTTTTTGTTGCAGTTTTTGTTGTTTTTTATAATTTACTGCAGTGTAGTGGTAGAGCTCACCTCATAAGTAAGAAGTTCTGAGTTATGACCTTCATGACCTTGGGGAGGTGAATAAAAGTTAAAAAATATATAAATACTTTAAAAAAATATTAACATACCTATTTTTATTACTTATAATAATGAAAGATTAAAGATTATATACAAGATAATCTTAAAATATATAAAAATAATTATATACTATTCACTTTTGAACTTGAAAAACCGTTTTATTATTTACTATTATTGTTTCTTGTTATTCATTAAATGTAAAAATTAATTTATTATTAACTGCAAAATTTACCTAAAAAAGATGCCACCATCTAAATTCAGTGCTTTAAAAGATGAATTATTTTTTATTGTTTTATGGAAGTAAACATTAAAATTATAAACATCTTTAAATGCATCTGTACTACGGCTAAAATAATCTTCATTTTCTTGAATTTCTATTGCAACAACAATTAAACGCACATTAATAGCTTGATATATCTTAAAAAAAACAAAAAAACTTTATTGTTATGAAAATTATAAAACTAATTTATTCTTTAATTACAAAATAAAATAAAATTAAAAAAATATATGCTTAAGCAGCTAGGTAAGTTAGAAGTTTACTTCTATTAATGTTCTGTTGTGAGTGTCACAGTATTTTGGGTTCGAAAATCACTTTGATTTAATGTTACCTAATACTGTCCATAGCTATATATTTATATGTGTGTATATATATATATATATATATATATATATATATATATATATATATATATATATATATATATATATATATATCAGGGACTATTATAGACAGTTTTCAGTAGTGTCGATTAAAATTTGGGGACCTTTTTTTTTTTTTTACTTTTTTACATCCAATATTTTTTTAAAAAAAGCTGATTACTTTTATTAAGTTTCTCTGGGACAAGGGAGGGAGGGGGTACTGCCACCCAAATTTTTTTCCTAGAATAGGCCCTGTATATATATACATATATATATATATATATATATATATATATATATATATATATATATATATATATATATATATATATATATACATATATATATATATATATACATATATATATATATACATATATATATATATATATATATATATACATATATATATATATATTTATATATATATATATATATATATTAGGGTGCATCAAACGCCCCATACTTTCAAAAATTGATCTGTCCCTATTCTTAAAACTTTTTCAAAACTAAATCAGATTTAGGGGGGCCACCTCAAGTCTGAAACTTGCAACAAGACATTAAACAGAAGAAAAAAAAGTTTTTTAAATGTATGTCATGTTGGGTCTCAAAAAAAGCAAAAATTAAAAAAAAATTCAAAAATAATAAAAATTTTACATAAAAATTAATATTCTTAGTTTTATTGCATAAAAATTATTATTTTTTTAACAAAAAATTAAAAAAAGCCATTTTTTTCATGGTCAACAAAATTTTTCAAGGTATTTTTAACAAAAAATCATAAATATTTTTGAAATTTTTAACATTGGCTTGTGAGAACCAATAAAAAGTTTTAAGAATAGGCACAGATCAATTTTTGAAAGTATGGGACGTTTGATGCACCCTAATATATATATATATATATATATATATATATATATATATATATATATATATATATATATATATATATATATATATATATATATATATATATCTTGTGTTCTACAAAATTGAGTTCTCAATGTTCTTAAAAAACAGAACTATATATATATTAAGTTATTTTTTTGGGAATAACAAAATAAATTGCATTTTTATAGTTTAATTCAATGCAAAATAGAATTTCATTGATTGCAAAATAGAACAGAATGTTGCTTAAAATCTTATTTTCGCATCATAAATTGGTATACTAGCAGCAAGTTTGCCATTTTTAAATGCAGTTTCATTTTTCTGTTAAGAAATGGTTACTTTTTTGCCATGTTTAAAGATATAAAATATTATATAAAATCTAATAGAGATAAAGTTTTTATATTACCCATACATTTAACTTGTATTTTATGGTATTTTAACATGATATCTAACAATAAGATTATAAAAAATCTTTTTCAGACTAAATTTATATATTAAAAATGAATGCAAAATGTGGTTCTGGGCGACCAACAAGAAAAGAACACATAATATTATAACTTGACATCAAAGTGAAAAATATGCTAGGCAACCAAATGAAATACCTGTTAATGACCTCCCAACATATAAACAGATTATTCAACATGCCTATAAGGTCAAAAAAGAAATGATATCAACTGAAAAAATTGATTTTCCTGCCAAAATTTTAAAAGTGAATGAAAAAATTTTAAAAAGTTGGAAATACGTGAATCCAAATCTTCTATGAATGAAGGAGAAACCTCTAAGGAATAAGGTACAAAGAACATTTCAAAAAGAAATTGCAGCTGAACAATTTTCAAAACATAAAAATTTTGCTGGTTGGAAAACAATCTTTTAAAGTTATTTAAAAGATTGTTTTCCAACCAGCAAACTTTTTAGTTAATTGTGATTTAAATTTGAAGTTAAAAATATAACTTCAAACCACAATATTAAACAATGTGGCTTAACTGCCAACAAATTTTACAGCTGTTTTTTGTTTCTTCCCAAATTATTGAATTATATTTTATTATACATATTACCCTTTAGAAATGCTTGATGCAAGGATTGCTCTAACAAGCACTATGTATGTCTCTGTGAAAAAAGCAAACAGGTTACATTTAATTTTTTTTTTGATTTTTATTTTGTATTATTATTTTTATGTTTGTTATAATTTTAAATATTCTCTATAATCAATAAAATGAATTTTTTTAATTTTTCACTTCTAGAACAAGATCAGAAAGGATCAGAAAGTTAAGCAAGAGCCCATTGTAACCTGGCAGATAGGCCAAATTGATAAGAAAGAGACAATATTGCAAAATAAAAAAGTAAGGAGAAAATTAATATAACAAGTGACACAAGACTCCATTCAGATAATGATTGTATCAGTGAGACTTATGATGTGGAAATAGATAACAATGATGACTATAAAAATCAGAATCATGAGTTTTTTGCAAAACCACTGTGTGAAAAAAATTACATAAACAATTGCCAAAACTGCTATCAGGTTCAAAGTTAGTGACGCTGCAACATCTGCCAAAAAGCAACTGTTACTTTGATATTAAATTAAAACTCAGGATGACAGATCACAAATTATCGCTGAAAAAAAGATATCTGACACTAAAAAGCGTGTTTCATCAATGATTAGTGAAAAACACAGTTCGGAAGTTTTTCATTTTTAAGTCATTGGAGTAGATAGTAAAAAAGACAAAAATACATAAACAGTTATATTTGGATATGATCATGATGCTGAACCTATTATTAAAATAACAGGAAAGGATGAACATTGCTTACTTTTACTGCAAAAAGTGGAGCTTTTTCTAAGAAATAATTAACTCATATTGAAATAAAAATGGAACAGGAATTACAATAGCAACCGAGACACTAAAAATACTCAAAAAATACAACAGCATCAGCAGTTTTGATGCTATTGTTCTTGATAATACTTCTGCTAATATTGGTGCAGATAATGGCTTAGTTGTAACATTAGAAAGGCTTTTAAACTGACAAATCTATTCAATAGGATGTGTACTTCATCAAAATGTTTTGTTAATTAAAAACTCAAAAACCTTTCTTTTGATAGTATAAAGACAAATGGGATGTTAGTTAGACGAGTCAGATCGCTCTCCAGTTTTTCTCCAATCTTTGAAAATATTGATAACAGATGACACTTTCCAGCAGGCTAGAAAACAAGACTCTGATAAATAGTTTGTTAAATAGTAATTTTGTTATAAACAATTTTTGCAATACCTGCGTCAGTATATATTGCCTGTGTTGCAATGCAACAAAGACTTGTTTTTAATTGACTTTACAGTATCCAAATTTACCTCATAGTTCTGCGCTAACATTCTAAATGGTTCAATGATGGTGCTTTAACAATATCAAAGTTTAAATTTTTATAGCTAATACCATAGTCCGCTTTTTCTTATTTTTTTTTTTTTTTCTTTTTGTCAAGAGGAAGAAAATATTAGAGTTTACATATGAATCAATCTCTGAATGAATTGAATTCTTTGAATTGTTACTTTTACCATCTACTTCAGCTATGAAGTGGCTAAGTAGTAACTCATTTTGATGAAGTACAAATCCTATTGAATAGATTTGTCAGTTTATCTCTCATCTTAAGTCTAATAACTTTCTGATCATCAATATGAATTTTGATCTTCTTGTTCTACTGCTGATTTTTTAACAGTAATAACTGATAGGTTTTACCGTGCATTAAATAGATGTGGAGAGGTAAAGGCTATTGCTCTTGACATTTCTAAAGCCTTTGATAAAGTTTATCATGCTGGTCTTCTCTATAAGCTCTTTTTGTACAGTGTATTAGGTAAGATTACTGAATCCTTCCTTACTAATCATAGAATAAAAGTTGTCCTCAATAGGAAGCACTTTTCTTCATATCCTGTAACTTCAGGGGTTCCTCAAGGTTCTATCCTTGGCTCTATACTTTTTTTAACTTACATTAAAGATCTCCAAGTAGCTTTCACATCTGATGTGGCATTGTTTGCTGATGATACTACTATTTATTCTTGTCTTGATAAACATGCATAATTTCGGCTGTCACTGACATTTGAATAATTTTTTGTGAAAGGATCCTTTAATTCACTGAACAATAAAATAAAGATATGGTATAAATTTTAAATCAAAAAATTCTGGCGCATTTGATCGTAATAGACCTATTAAGATGGCACACATTTTTTTTTTAAATGTTATTAGGACACCATAACACAAAATCATTTATATCATTATACTTATAAATTGTCTGTATATTTTAAACTTTTTTTTTCGTTATTTATTATTTACACCAGATAAAATAATTGAACTAATTATAATTGAAGATTTAAAAAATTTTTAATTTTGATGAAGTTTGTCACGGACTTGGCAATATGGTAAAATCATATTGCATGCATATTTGTAAAAAACTATAAAAATTATGCAAACCTAAAATTGAAAATTTTTTATCCAACTGGTTAAATTAAAATGTTTCTTACAAAATGACAAAATAAATTTTTATTTTTACTTGGAAAACATTTTGAATGAACAGTTTTATTATGACACATTTTTAACCTTGAAATCAGTAAAACTGTAGAATCAGTAAAATTTATGGATAATTCTTATAATTTTTCCACAACAGTATAACAATTATAGACCTATCTCTCTCACATGTACTAGCTGTCGTGTCATGGAAAGTATTGTCAGTTCAAGTATCGCTGATTATCTTGATCTAAATAATCTAATAACACCTAATCAACACGGCTTTTTATCCAAAAGATCTACGTGCACAAATCTTCTAGAGTCAACTAATGACTGGAATAAAGCTTTAGACAGCAATTTAATTACTGACGTAGTATACATTGACTTTTAAAAAGCATTTGACTCTGTACCTTGGTCTACAAACCCAAAAGATCTTGGTGTGACCATGGATTCTTACTTAAATTACAATAATCATATTTCAAATATCGTCCGTGTATCAAACATTCCAGGATATCTAATCCTTAAGTGTTTTAAAAGTCGTGATCCACGTGTTATCATTAAAGCCTACACTACTTATATAAGATCGATCTTAGAATATTACTCTCCGGTTTGGTCGCCAAATCGCACTAAAATGAACAATACAGTGGAAAGAGTACAAAGACGTTTTACCAAGAGAGTTTCTAACCTAAATAATGTTTCATATTCAAGTAGACTTATTATTCTTGGTTTGGAACTACTAGAAATTCGTCACCTTAAGCAAGACATGATTACATGTTACAAAATTCTGAACAATTTAGTTTGCCTAAATAAATCAAGTTTCTTTTTATTTAACAACTATATTTACACTCGAGGACATAATTTTAAATTACGCAAATTAAAATGTAAACTCAATGTCCATAAACACTCTTTCTCACTCAGGGTTGTTAATATTTGGAATAACTTGCCGTCTGACGTCGTGAATGCCAAAAATAAAAAGAGCTTCAAAATTAAAATTAACTCTATTGACTTTGAAAAATACTGTTCCGGCTAACTGGTTTTTGTTTTATAACTATGGTCTTATATATAATTGTAATTTATATTTTAAATTATCTAGCATTTGTATTATGTGATTGTAGGGCACGTTGTCAGAGTCCTTCATATTTTATGGACCTGCGTGTCCTTTAGAACATGTATCACTGTTCTAATAAATTTTAATCTAATCTAACTAATAAAAATTAATTGAATAAAAACATAAAACAAACCATGTCACATTGAGTAATGATATTTAAGACTCTCTCAATTAAAAGAGAATGATTGTTGCTGTACATAGGTAACTAGAAAAAAAAATAGAATGATTGTTGCTGTTGATAGGTAGCTAGAAAAAAATTTAACTAGAAAATGATTTAATAACTATAAAAAAACCAATAGTTTTAATGACAAAAATATAAGATCATTATAAGTAAATAACTATATAAACTTTCACTTTATTAATTTTATTAGAAATATAGTGAATTATCAATTAACACTATATTAGATATATTATGTATTATAACTATAAATACTATATTTCTAATAAAATGTTTCTTAAGCAACTTTCCTTTTATTCATTTGAAACAAATGAAAATAATTTTATTAGTACCTCCCACTCTTTCCTCTCAGTATTAAAAATAAAACCAAATATAATATTGTATTTGTTTTTTGAAACCACTATATAGCTAAACTCAGCTTTATTCAACAACAGTAACAAAATGGAATTTTTAGTAAAAACATGCTGTAAAAGAACAAGTTTTGCTCAAAATGTGGTACCAGGGTGTTAACCAGCCTGATGGCACCACATATAACGCGGTATTCCCAATTGGTTTCAAATTCCCAAAGGTTCATAAGACCATAGTAAAAAAAATAAATAATTAAATCAGTCTAAGATTTTAAGTGTCACGCTAGACAAGTAAAAAACATAATTAGAAGCGTAATTTGTAATTAAATGACAAAAAAATGAATCAAATTGATTGATTTTTTTAATGTGTAAAAAGGTGTCGTCATTAACAACCATACATTAACATGATCATTCGCTCAAAAGTTTAAAAAAACTTTTTATTTTAATTTTTATTGATGCCAGTTAATTTTGAGTTAAGATTTTTCAAAGTTTAATAAATTAATTTATTAATTTATTTTTATTATTCAAAAACTTTTTATTTATGTTTTTGCTGTTTATCTTAAGTTAATGAAGTTACAAAGAAATTTGCATAATAATAAATATTATACTTTAAAAATAAAAAAGTTAATAACGTTTTTGTAATAAAAGATTTATTAATACTTTCAGTAAAATAAATTAGCAGGTAAAATAAATTGAAAATAACAACAAAAATAATCAAAAATAAAACTTGCAATGAAACATATTATCTATGTTATAATTACGTAAAACGTAAAAGAAGGTAATTAAATAATATTATAATATTATTAATTATTAACCAATATTTATAAATACAAAATTCTTTTTTTAATTTACAAATGCAAACTTTATGTAGATATTTAATAAATGTAATGTATATTGAAAAAATAATAACAATAATAATAATAATTTTGTATTTAAATACATTTTTTTTATTTAAATACCTAATTTACTAGATATTTAAAATACGCCAATTAAATTTAGTTGCTGCCCTTGTGCGGTGAAAGAATCTCGCTTTGCCCCCTATATGTCTTTGTTACTTATTTAAATTAAAGTAGCATATTGCAACAAAAGTTCTTTTAACAAACATTATATTTGACGGAAATCGGCGAGCCAACCAAGTTTTTGAATTAAAAGATATTAGGATTTTGAAAACTTTCATTTAATTTTCATTTAAAAGCTATTGATTTAAATAAGTTTTTAAACTGTTAAATTTATCTTATGATAAAAATTATAATATAAAATATGATGAACAATAGGACATTTGTAAAAAAGTTTTTTAAGTATTTCAAAGTATTTTAAAAATACTAGAGTATTTAAATAGTTATATAGTCAAATATATTTCTTCAGAACTAATCGTTTAAACCTTTTTTAAAAAAAGCGATGTACGCAATTAAACTAGATCTAAATTTCAATGAAATTTAATAATACATTTATTAAAACAGCAAACAGTTGTCTTCAATTCTTGGTTTCTCTCTACTTTACTGCAGCCATTTTTTAAAGCGCCTTATGTAAAAAAAAATCTATTTGACTTTTTTTACCAAATAAGCTAGTTTAGATGTACAAACATTTTTGAAAACATATTTTTGAAGAGTTCTAAAAAAATTCATAAAAATTATTAGTTTCAAAAAGCATGGAAGTATACTAAGTATAACTTTTTTTTTTTTTTAGCCGCACCTAAATTCCCAATTTTGCAAAAACGCTGAATGAATTTTTTACCTGGGTAACACCCTGGGTACAAGCATTTAGTGGAAATTAAAATAAAAAATAGACAAACCATTCATTAATTGAGGTCAAGTGATTGGATTACTGTAAGGTCGATTTCAGATTTCAAAAAAAGTACATTAAAAAAACATATTGCTGAATATCATAGCTTCCATGGTGTAATGATTGCAACATTACAACCCCTTTCAGAAAACTATTTACAATTTATATATATATATATATATATATATATATATATATATATATATAAACAATTATTGATTGCAGTTTCCTTGGGAATTATTTCAGCACGAAGGCATTGTGTGAATAAATAAAAAAGCGGTTGCAATCTAAAGTTGAATTGGTACAGGAGAAACAAGGAACAGTTAACACTTTATACATTATCTAATTAATTGAATTATTTATTATATATCTATTTAAACCAATTTCATACACATCATTATTACAAATTTTAACACAAACATATTTGAATTATTTAATCATACATAACGCAACTATTATTATGATATAATTATAATGACATCTGATTATACTGCATTGCATACACAATACAATTTAAGCATCTTGATAAAATAAGGCATCTCTGGCTGACTCAACAATTACACTCATAGGCATGGTGTACTCATTTGGCTGAAATTGTTAAAAACTGTGCAACTGTTCATCAATTAAACTTAGAAATTTTGTTTTAAACAAAAAACATTTGTTTCCATGCAGTTATCTTGATCTGTGTCATGAGAGCCATGGTATTATGGGCTCCGAAAAAAAGCAGTAGCTGGATTATTTCCTCTTATTAGTAAATAACTTGCTGCAGCAGATTGGTATTGTAAAACATTTTCTGGGAATGTGAGGATCATTTAGATTTTGCACACAACCTTTCTGTTATGATAGCTGTATAGTGCCACCTACTTTTAACTCCAAATTAAAGAAAAATCTCCTTTATGCTTAATAAGGTTGGTACTTAACTTTTTCTTGACTTCTACATCATGTTTATTTGAATGTATACTATTACTGATTCTGGTTATTCACCAGGGAAATACTGATGTATAAAAAAGTAACATAAACTTTTTGTGGCATAAAGCTCAAGTAGTAATAGAGTAGCAGCTAGAGTTAGAACTAGTCCAGCGATTTGTCTTTCATATCATATTGAATTTGTTCTATCATAATCATATTAATGCGGTAGTGGTGTAGTGGTAGAGCGCTCGCTTCATAAACGAGTGGTTCCGAGTTCGATCCCCACCACGTCCCCGGTAGTACCATGCTCAAGTAGCCTCCTTGTCTGTAGTGGCCTTCTCGGCCTTGAGGAAGTAAAATGAGGTGAAGTAAAATAAATAAAAAAATAAAAAAATATTGAATTTTTGTCCTATCATATCATATTGAATTGAACATATTCAGCTGTTTTTGTGAGTATCCATGCACAATGAGATTAAAGTTCTTCATTATTAGGACTAGTTACTTGTAACACTCCATAAAGAGAAGTTTTAGTGTTTATGCTTAGAAATATTTTCCTATTGTTATAAAGACTTTTGTTCTTTAGACAATCATAAACGTCAATATTAAACATCAATCATAAAAGTCAATCATAAATGTCAATCATGAATGCCAATCATAAACATCAATCATAAACATCAATAAATAGCCTTAAAGTACCTTAAAACTTACAGATGTGTTAGACTTTTAATGAAAAAAATTATGTGTTTAAACGCCCTTTTAAATATTACATAAAGCCTGTCCGATAATATGAAGTGGTGCGCATGAAGCCTGTTCGATAATATGAAGTGGTGCGCATGAAGCCTGTTCGATAATATGAAGAGGTGCGCTATTATCTTTTTTAAACTGCTATAATAAGTTGTAGGTTTTATTTTATATTATTAATCATTTTATTCTATATTATTAATCATTTACACTGCATCTATCTGTATTCATAAGGATAAGAACGTGTTTAATATTAAGTCAAAATTTCGGTTTTAAGGTAGCGCTGTGTGTCAAAAATTGTTTCCTCTTGGGGGCAGAGAGGTTTGTTTAAGGAATGAACATTGAGTGTATCTCAGTTTCAAATACTTATTACATATGACTTGACTATCACTTGTACAAAGGTTGTACCACAGCAGAATTTTCAGGTTTGTGTGAAACAGTTGTTATTTCTTTTTTAAGAATCTCATTCCCACTACAGTTGTTTAACTTGTTGATATGTAGCAGGAATTTTAGGATGAGTAGCAGCTCCGTTGACTTTCTGACATACTTCAATAAAACACCAAGTTTGGTTTTAATTTGAGATATTGTCCACTATAAAATTACCTGCTTTTCACATTCAGAACATTCTAATACATAAAAGCAATACTTCTAAAGAATCTGAATTAAACCTATATGTTTTATTCTTAAGGTTGAAAAAAAAACCATGGGATTTTTTAATAAAATCAAAAAAACCAATTTTTTTTTTTGTTTAAACTCCTTCTTTAGCCAACCTTTTCAATAAAATAAAATAATTAGCCATTTTCATTGAGAAAATTATATTGTGTGAAACAGTGAAACAAATTTAAATTCTGCAATTCCTTCTTCAGATGTCAGTGTTGATGGGTACTATCCTTTGATTCGTAAAGATTCCAATAGTCACATGCTAGGTTTAGGCGTATACATACGCATTAATTCCCCTATTTGTCGTGAAATCAGGTTCGAATCCTTTGACCATTCTTTTATGTGCTTTCGCCTAGCACCTCTTCACTCTATCACCTTTCTCTTTGTTCTTTATCGTTCTCCTTCTTCCCATGATTGCATTCTTTTAGATGTTATCTCTGATCAAATTGACCATGCCCTCTCTCTTTACCCCTCTGCCAATATTGTTGTTGTTGGTGATTTTAATGCCCATCACACTGAATGGCTTGGCTTTAACACTACTGATCCTGCTGGCACTAAAGTCTTTAACTTCTGCGTTTTTCAATCTCTTACTCAGATAGTTAACTTTGTGACTCGTTTTCCTGACAACCCTAATCATTTACCTTCACTCCTGGACTTATGTCTTGTCTCTGACCCTAGCTTATGTTCAGTTTCTCCCTTTTCTCCCATAGGTGGTTCTGACCATGCAATGATCTCTATAAATCTTTCTTCTCGTACTTCTTTTTTGGGCTCACCTTATCATCGCACCACCTACTACTACCCTAAAGCTGACTGGGATTCCTTTCGTGATTTTCTTAGTGATGGTCCTTGGGCTGATGTTTTTTCTCTCTCAGCTGACAAATGCGCCTCCTACATAACCTCCTGGATTCAGGCTGGAATGGAAGCTTTTATTCCTTCTCGTTGGTTTTAAGTCAAGCCTCATTCTACTCCATGGTTTTCTCCTTCTTGCGCGGCTGCTATATCCAATCGTAATCATTTTTTTCATCTTTTTCAAAAGAACAACTCTCTTGAGAACAAACGGCTATTTATTATTGCAAGAAATCGATGTAAAAAGATGCTTTCTGATGCTAAACTCCATTATTCTCAGTTCACTAAAACTCGCATCTTATCGCAGAAGTTAGGCTCTAAAGACTTTTGGAAAATCTTCAACAGCATTGTTAACAAGGGTAGATCTAACATTCCATCTCTCATTCATGGGACTGATCTTGTTACCTCTCCCAAGGATAAGGCAGAACTGTTTGCAAATAACTTTTCTTCTAATTCCACTCTTGAATCTTATGGACATTCTCTTCCTTCCATTCCAGTCAAACAGGTTGACCCATTGTTAGACATTCAAATCACTCCGGCTTCTGTTGCTAAAGTCATATCTCGATTAAACTCGTCTACAGCTTGTGGTCCAGACAACATTCCTGTCACAGTCTTGCAGAATTGTTCTCCAGAACTTTCTTCAATTCTCTCTAAACTATTTAACAAGTGTTTGACTGAGTCTTGTTTTCCTGCTTGTTGGAAAATGGCATCTGTGGTTCCAATATTCAAAAACTCTGGAGAAAATTCTGACCCCTCCAATTATCATCCGATCAGTCTTCTTTCTGTTATTAGCAAGGTCTTTGAGTCTTTGATCAACAAATTCCTCACATCTCATCTTGAGTCAAATAAACTACTGTCAGACAATCAATACGGTTTTTAATCCTCTCGCTCTACGGCCGACTTGCTAACTGCTTTAACTGAAAGATTTTATCGTGCATTAGATGGAGGCGGTGAGGCTAGGGCTATTGCTCTCGACATATCTAAAGCTTTCGACAAAGTTTGGCATGCTGGTCTTCTCCATAAGCTTGCTTCATATGGTGTTTCTGGGAAAGTTTTTGAGATTATCAAATCATTTCTTTCTAACCAGTTTATTAAAGTCATCCTTGAAGGCCAACACTCTTCTTTATTTCCAGTAACTTCTGGGGTTCCCCAAGGTTCCATCCTGGGCCCTGTTTTGTTTCTTATTTACATAAACGATCTTCCTGACAACCTTTCATCTAAAGTAGCTCTTTTTGCTGATGACTCAACTTTATACTCCTGTCTTGACAAAAAGTCTTCTCTTTTCGATCGCCTAGAACAAGCAGCTGATCTTGAATCTGATCTCACTTCAGTTATAGATTGGGGTTCACAGTGGCTTGTGAATTTCAACTCTAAAAAAACCCAATTGCTTACTGCAAACAACTACCGTAATATGGTCAACATTCCTATATTAATGAATGGCAATCCTCTTACTGAGTCCTCCTCTTTACGTCTTCTTGGATTATCGCTTACTACTGACCTTTCATGGAAACCTTATATACAATCGATTGCTAAATTAGCTTCTGCTAAGGTTGCTTCTCTTTATCGTGCTCGCCATTTCCTTACTTCTGATTCCATTCTCTACCTCTACAAATCTCTTATTTGTCCCTGTATGGAATACTGTTGTCATATTTGGGCTGGTTCTTCTAACAATTCACATTCTCTTCTTGACAAGGTCCAAAAACGCATTGTAAATGTTGTTGAACCTGGACTATCTGCTAAGCTTGAACCTCTTTCCCATCGTCGTAAAGTTGCATCTCTTTCTCTTTTCTACAGATACTATCATGGTCACTGCTCAAAGGGGTTATTATCTCTAGTTCCATCAACTAAAATTCATTCTCGTTTTACTCGTCATTCAGCTAAGTCTCATTCGTTTACTGTATCTGTCCCTGCATGCTCTAAAAACTTTTATTCATCTAGTTTTTTTCCCCGCACTTCAATTCTTTGAAACTCTCTCCCATCTTCATGTTTTCCTGACTCATACAACCTTCAACTTTTCAAGTCTTCTGTCAACCGTTTCCTTGCTCTATATCTCTGTTCTTTTTTTTTCTTCCTAGTAACTCCCAACTTAATAGTGGTTGCTTGCAGCCTTGGTGGGAGTGAATGCAAATAAAAAAAAAAAAAAAAAATTTTCTATTAACATTACTGTTGTAATTCATCAACCAATACATCATTATTTAATGTTCTGTATATAAAAAACAAGCTTTGCTATTTTTTCTACTCCCATATTATCTTTTATATTGGAACGAACAAGTCCAAAAGACGAATAAATTCTTTTAATTCCAGCACTAGAAGCTGGTGCACTTAACAACCTTGATTATCCATGATGTAGCAACCCAAATTGATTTTCACCATTCGATTGGTGATAAATTTTTTAAAAGACTACACAAAAAGCTTTTACCAAATGGAGCAGATTTGGCTTTCAACTTGAATATATTGGTACCAAGTTCTTAAACTCTTTATCTCTAAAGGTCATTGGAGCTTCATTTTCATTTTCAGAAAGATTTGATCCAAAATATCTAGCATGTTTGCAAGGAAATGAGCAAATGATCAATGATCTAGCATGTTTGCAAGGAAATGAGCACCACTGACAACCTGAAGATATCTAGTGTACAATTTTTTTTTTTTTCAGTTTATAAATATGATAACATCTTCATGTTTTTTATAATTTCAACAGTGTCACTTATTTTTGTTTAATCTCTTTGCAACTTATCTAGAGCAACTGCAATTGGTTTTAATAATTTCAACAAAAAAATAGTTTGGGTTTATTTGATACTTTTTAGATTGGTTTAAATGATGGTTTAAAACATTGTTTTAAATGTTTCTTCTTATAAAATTTTTTATTATTAATGGTTTTTTCGTGTGTTAGTAATGACTATGTGATGCAAGTGTTAAGTGGAGAATATGTATAACATATACAGATATTTGCATTCTGCATATAAACCAAATGCAAGTGTCAATTTATTGTTATTGTGGTTGTACTATCAGTTTGTAAAATATTTTAAAAAAAGGAAAAGTTTTATGTTATATAAAGATCAGCATTAATTTTTTATTTAATGTAGAATACAATTGTAATTTTGAAGAACAAAAAATCTTTTTTTTTTTCCTAATGATTTATTTTCCAATTATTAAAATTTTGGTCAGAAAACAAATTAAAAGCATAAAGTTGCTTAAAAAGCTTTTTTATAACAAAAAAGTTTGAAGTATAATAAAAAAATTAAAAATGAATTTGCATTTTAAAACCACAGAACCCAAATTCTGCAAAAGAGCTTCATGTATATTCAATAATAAATAATTAAAAAAATGATAATTTATTTAACTTTATTTCAAAT